AGATTGCTCTGGCTCCTCCTGGGACCCAGGCATGTACCTTGGACATTGCTAAATTCCACTGTACCTGTCCTGTTTTGCCCTCTCACAAGCCATGGCTTGTAGTGTTTTAAAGTCCAGTTAAGTCCAGTTTTTTACCTCAAAACGATGCAACTGGCAACTGCAACTGGTCTAGACCAATCCAGATATCAAGGGATCGCAACCGGTCTGCTTTAGACCAGTCCTAATTGGTCCACAATGCGAAAAAGACCAGTCCAGACCAGTTGTGGACCAGTCTTTTGTTGTAAAATTTATTACACCACAGAAACTAAATATTACCTCACATACATAGCATACATAGATAAATATTTTAATTCTCCATAGACTGATTAAAAATTTAAGCAATTCCGTGAAGATTTGACTGAGATATGGAAAAAAACGGAAAGGATATACATTCAAATTGCGTATAAAAATGTTTTTGGCCATATCTCAACCAATTCTTGACTGTTTTTGATGATTGAGGGACCGAAAATTAAGTAAAAATGTGTGCGAGTAAGGTCCAATACATGATGGGATGAAAGACCAGTTGCAACTGGTCTTTTTCAGTTTTTAATATTTACAAAAACATGGCAACTGGCAACTGGACTGACCACAAATGTGGGCAACTGCAACTGGAAAAAGACCGGACTGTGGTTCAGTCCAGTTCAGTCCTATGTATATTTTCAGTCCTGTAGACTGGACCTGTGAACACTAATGGCTTGTTGTCCAGGGCCTCTCTGGTCAATTCCTGATTGATCATGCACACCCCTTTGGTGCCACTTGTGCCAGCAGCAATGCTGGCATGATTGCCAACACCATTGTCAATATCTGGCAGGCGGAGGGGGGTTTTTCCAGTCCCAAAGTACAAAGATGACCTCAAAGTCTTCCATATCCCTTCCCCAACAGGTGTGTTCCATGACGATGATTTTTCCTATGATTATGACTGTGCAGAAATGCTATGGTGTATTCACCCTTTGGGCGTCCTTTGGCATGATGAAAAGGGTGATGATCATTTCCTTTTCATTACAACCTTTATCGGCTTCTGCTGGGACATCCCTAGCAAACTTGTGAGTCTACCTGGGGAGAAGCGGTTGAAGTTTCATGAACACGTCCAGCATTTTTTGTGTGACTTCAAGGGCCGAGCTTGCCACCTCCTCGACGTCGAAAAAATTCATGGCTCCCTCTGCCACATTGCCTTCGTTTACATGGACAGACTTCCTGTCTCCCCTCCCTTTCAAACTTTGCATCTTCCTTTCACAATAACAAGGTTATCACAAGGCATCCTCCTCACTCCATGATGACTGACCTTGGCTGGTGGCTCAAGAAGCTTGAGATAAGTGGTGTATCTCGTGCTTTACATCCTCGGGGTCCTCTTCAAGACCTGGGCCTATATGTTGATGCCTCAACTTCCTGGGGCATCAGCATTGTTATTGGCAGCAGTTGGGCCTCTTTCCAATTATCTCCTATCTGGAAGGTACCTGGGAGAGATATTTGCTGGCTCGAAACAATCGCTATTGAACTTCTCGTTTATTTTTTGGAACAGATGGGCTTACCACATTGTCGTTTGCTCATCCACTCTGACAACCAAGGTACCATCGGTGCGTTGGAGAAAGGGCATAGCCCTAACTCCCACATTAACCTTTCCATCCACCATACTTATCTTGTCCTTTCCGATCTCTCTATCTCTCCAGATATCATCTACATTGAATCTGTGGCTAACCCAGCTGACCCCATCTTGTGCAGAGAATCTGGGGAGGCTGGAAGGCAAATTTTCCCTACTTTCACGCTCCCAGAAGAGCTCTCTGACATCTTCCTCCATGTTTAGTCTCAATCAGAAACTCACCTCATTGACTGCTGTTGCCGAGAGGTCCATGGGTGAGAAACACTTTGACAGGTCTATCTCACCGCGCCCCACATGTCCTTGAAACTCCTTCCACCCCTTCCAACCTCCTCCTCCTTCCTTGCCTTCCTCTGACTGTTCCGCTCCCAACATATCTTCCATGCCTGATCTCAATCCCCATCTGCAACCAATTAAACCCCAAAAAACTGCACTGTGTGTCATACATGCTCATAAACCTCACGTGGGCCGCTCTATTGCTAACAGCACCCTATGTCCACATGTCCCTGCAACTGACTGAATTTTTTCTTGGCGCATGCCTTTTGGCTCGTGTCACCAACATGATCTTACACAGTGGCTTCCCCCTCCCCTTGTCGACTCTGCGATGATGGGGATCCATGAAGCCTTGGCCCCAAACACTAAATCTACCTACGCTGCTGGCCTGCTATGCTTCACCTAGTGATGAGCAGAGGTAACCCTGGGGTCAACTCAGGCTGACCCTGACCCTTACCCTCCAAAACCCTTGACCCTTGGCTGGGGTCAAGGGTTTTGGAGGGTAAGGGTAAGGGTATCTCAGGGGTTGGAGGGTAAGAAACCCCAGCAGGGTTTGAACAAGGGTTTGGAGCAAATCACTGCTCAAGCTTTATAGATAGTAAATAAATAGCAAGATGCCTGTGAAATACACATCATTCAAGTATATTTATGACAGTACACATGGTTTTTAGTAATTATTGATGAAATATGAGGAATTCAGTGTATCTGAACAGTACTAAGTGTTGCAAAGGTAGTGAGGCCTCTTTGGATGATATTTTATCTGATTCAATGTGATTTAAAATCATTTTATCTGGAGTACTTACCTTGATATTAGAGAAATGAAACCCCTAAAAAAACCCCTGAAAAACCCCTGACCCTTCAGAAGGGTCAAGGGTTTGTTGAGGGTCACAAAATCCTTACCCTGACCCTTACCCTCCTGACCCTTACCCCTGACCCTTGGAGGGTTGACAAACCCTTGCACATCACTAGCTTCACCCAATTTTGTGACAAGTGGGACATTTGTGAGGAGGCTCACATGCCTGCTGACTATGCCTTGTTATGTGCTTTCATTGGTGAATACAAGGGTCTCCATTCTGGCAACACCATCTGTTCGTGGATGTCTGGTCTACGCAGTTGGCATGTCATGAACCATGCGCCCTGGTATGGTGATGATAGTTGGGTGCACTTGGCCTGCACTTCTGCTAATAAGGAAGGCATGAAGCATAAACTCACTCTCCATGCCCCGGTTTCTATTGAGCACCTCTCCTGCTGCACCGTGCTCTTGATTTATCCAATTCCTTCCATGCTGCTGTCTGGGCTATTGCCCTGGTTACCTTTTTTCGCTGTGGCTGTCTTGGAGAAACTACCCTCACTACCGCTTTGCTCTTGATCCGAAATTTCATGTACTGTGTTCTACAAAGTATGTTCCTGTTCTTCTGCCCACTGCACCTCTTAATCTTTTTACCTTTCCTTAGAATTGTTTTTCATTCATTGCATGGTGGTGCTTGCTCTGCAAGTTTTGATATCCCATGGACAAAGTCTACAAGAGAGCTCGGGGCCACTGTTATCCTTACTGCACACTGTGATGGCGATCCCTTGTGCCCTGTTACTGTGTTCAAGAATCATCTTGATGTCAACTCCTCCATTCCCGTCTCCTCAACTCTCTTTGCTTACACCTCATCATCAGGTGAACCCAAAAACCTTCTCAAGCATGAATTTCTCACCTTTGTTACTAAAATTTGGTCCTCCGCCATGCTCACCCACGTTTTGGGCCACAGTTTTCGTATTGGTGGCACTGTCAAGCTATTGCTTGCCAGGGTTCCCCCAAAAATTGTTGCTGCCACTGGTGGTTGGACATCCTTGGTGTTCCTTCTCTACTGGTGCCATATGGATGAAATCCTACCCATGTCCACCTCAAAAGCTTATAACCAAGCAGATCTTGATCGTCTCACCTCTATCTTTGAAAAATTCTGTATTGCTCACAACATCCCTGCCTCTTTACTTGAAAGCTCTACTCTCTGACCCATGTAACATTAGCACAACATTTACTTTACCTTTCCCACCTCTCCATACTATTATCTAACCTTACCACATTGTTCCCTGTACTCCACCCACTTCTCAGAATTATTATTTAACCTAACTGCACTCTGAGTGACGCTCAATTGGGTAGCCAGTTTGGCTCATTCTTGCCTCACCAACCTGCCGGTGTGAGCTTACACTCGGATTGGTACAGCCAGTTGGTTTGGCAATCATTTACCACAACTGTGTTTTCCGGATGCTCAGATCTTGTTTGCACCCTTTGATCATGAGGAAGATCTTTGCACAACAAAGTTATTTATGTGCACAAATTTCTTGGACTTCTTTTCTCAGTGGAACTACGTGACAGTTATCTTATTCCATGATGAGTAAGCCTGAGGTACGATGGCAAACTCATCTTAGGATAAGATAATGTCTGCATCAGAACCAGACATCTCACATACGCGTACATACTAATACATGTCTACATTACTGGGAGTGTTTCCCCCACCTTTTGGATCTGGTTCTGACACTAAGAAATCACTTGTCGGTCATCTTCCCAAAAAATTTTGAACCCACCCACCATCCCTTTAGCATCCTGCAGCCGGTTGGTTTGGCAATCATTTACCACAACTGTGTTTTCCGGATGCTCAGATCTTGTTTGCACCCTTTGATCCCAAGCAAGATCTTTGCACAACCAAGTTATTTGTGTGCATGAATTTCTTGGACTTCTTTTCTGGAACTATGTGACAGTTTACAGCCTTTCTCTTTCCTCCCTTGCATTTGCCTCAAAATGAACATGTAAAAATGATGATCTCACATTGCTGCAGGGTGACTTTGGACTACTTTTTTGAAATGTGTTTTCTAAATGTCATTTTTCGATTAAATTCCTGGTCCCACGCCCGAATTTTAAAAAACCAGTCCAAAGACTCCCTGCGGAATTGATATTTGATTCGATTTGGCCATAAATCTGACCCAAAGAAGAGGCCATGCGCTAAAAAAAGGTGATTTCCATGAAAATCAAAGAAATTGGCAGTAACACAACAAGTACAAACAACCTACACGGGGCGATGCGCCTCTCCACTCCTTCGCCACCAGCATGAGTTTGTCCTCATCGCCCTTTTCGTCCGCCGTCGCCCTCGTCCCCGTCTCAGATCCAGAGTGGCAACCCATTCTGCACGCATCTAACCAAGTCGTGCTGTACAACCCCACATCGCACGCACTGACTATAAGCCACTCCACCAACGTTACAACGGGCTTTCCCAGTACATCCACAGCTCCAGTCAAAGCTTCGCGAGACTGTTGTCCGTATTGTAAACGGGTGTTACCCTCCGCGTTTGACTATGACCCGTTCGATGATTCGGGGGACAGGATTCATTCGCATGATGAGGATGAAGAGGAAGAGGGCATCGAATCGCTGAGCTCAGATCCAGCATATACCTCTCGCGTGTCGGACTACTTCCAGCTCTTAGAAATTGCCAACGAATCCTCCTCAAGGCCGTCCAGTCCACCCGGGCCTACCCTATTAGGTGCAAGCGCGAGTAGTAGCACCAACAACGCGAGGCAGCAGCAATCGGGGACGTCAGCGTTCCCAGCGGAAAAGATGGCGGAGGGGTACTTCAAGACGTTCTTCCAAGAAGAGTATCGTTTGGGAATGGGTGCTAATGGCTCGGTGTACCTATGTCAGGTCGGTTGGATTCGTATTGTGTCGGCTGTGAGGTGGCTGATTCATCTGTGGTGCATAGCATATGCTGGATGGGAACCCACTGGGTAAGGTCGTGTCTTTATTTGGGGTTTCAATGGTTTTGATCTTATATTATAATAGGCCACTTTGCGGTGAAGAAGATCGCAGTTGGCGAATCTCACTCATACCTCCTCAAAATTCTACGCGAGGTTCGGCTTTTGGAGCGGCTACATCACCCCAACATCGTTACATACCAGTTCGTAGGCCCTTTTCTCCTCCCTTCTACTTTTCACTGAAAATAACACGCCACACCAGCCACGCATGGTTAGAAACAGCCCAATTCTCCTCCTTCGGTCCAAAAGTACCCACACTGCAGTACGTCTCCTTTCTTCCATTCGCCTCCTCTCAACTCACTCACATTATCTCCCCCAAATAGCGTGCTAATGCAATGGGCAGAAGGCGGCAGCCTCGACGACTTCATCGACATTCGACTAGGGCGTAAACCCTCCCACATCCACTTCCACGCCCCAGGTTCCACCGACGCAGACTACGAACTAGGCACACCGGCCCCTCCACCCCTACGGAGAAGCGGGACTCCAGCGCATACGCTCTCTGCTTCCGATCTCCATTCGAGGTCTGCTAGGATAAGAGCCTTCCGGGCTTTTCAGCGCGCTGGCGGCGCGGAGGGCGAGAGGCAAAGGGAGAGGGAGACAAGGAAGAGGAACGGAGAGTGGACGGCTGTTCATTTGCTTAGTGCTGATGAGGTCAAAGGGCTTTTTAAGGATGTTGTGGCGGGGTTGGGGTTCTTGGTGAGTTCTTCCTCTGCTGTTTGTGAGGAGGAGAAGAACACGAAACTAATATTTGCTTTTATCTCATGAAGCACGACAAGTCGATATTACACCTTGATTTGAAGCCAGGGAACGTGTTGCTTACTTGGGATGAAGGGAAATTGATGTATTTCTTTTCTGAACTACGACGTGATAAATACTGATGAATACACGATTAGACCCCGCGCCATGCTCTCGGACTTTGGAACTTCTCGCGATATGATCAACTCTACAAGGCTACAGCGTTCCGGGAATACTGGGACGTGAGTCCTTACTTTTATCTTTATCCTGTCCTGTTTCATTTTGTCCCGTCCACTGTTGTCATCTTCCTGTTCTATTTAATTATGCTGACATGTAACTCAGGCTGGAATATACATCCCCGGAATCTCTGCCCTCCCCACACACGGGGCTCTTGCAGCAGATTGACTCAAAGTCGGATATGTGGAGTTTGGGTATGATTTTGCATAAGCTGCTTTTTTTCAAGCTGCCTTATCGGTGGGTGGTTTTTTCCTCTTCGATTGGCTGGGCTGTTTTATGGGGTATTGGTATTGATGAGACTTAAATGAAACAGGTATGCAGCGGAAGGAGACGCAAATGGAGAGGCCGTCACGGGTGGCTCGAGGGCTGGTGAGGGGGAGAAGATGGATAAACTTGAGAGGGAGGTGTTGGAGTACCCTGGGTGGGTTTACCTTCTCTTCTACCCCCTTTCCGCCACACCTTATAAAACTAATACTAGATTCAAAACCGCCCCAGGGCTAGTGGCAGCCTTTGAAGCTCGGCGATTACCACGCTCATTCCTCGTGCTTCTTGAGAGTTTGTTGAATAAAATCCCGGCGGCTAGACCATCCTGCGAAAGGGTAGCTGGTGCTATTCGGGAGGGCAAAGTGGGTTTCCCAGCTTCTTTCATCTTTTCCCGTAGGCTGACACTAATGCAGCTTGACCCCCTCCGAGAAATCCCCCAGCATCACAACGGGGCACCATCCTCTCTCGTCCGCGTACGCTCACGCTCGCGATCAGGGTCAGCAGACAAAGTGGTCAATGTCGATGAAGCGGCGTCAGCAGCAACGGAAAGAGCGCGATTATTGGGTTTACCCTCCCCCACTGAGGTGTTAGGACCGGAAGAAGGGGTATGGGGAGGGTGGTGGCGCAAGGCGCGGGTTGTTGCGAGGCGGAATTTGGGAATAACGCGGAGGGGGAGGAGGGGAAAGGTGTATTTGAGGGTTGTGAGGAGTGTTGTGCTTGTTGCTAAGGTTTGTCTTGTATTTTCCTCTTTGTGAATCATATCACTTACGCGCTACTGGTATGATGCTAGGTGCTAAGTATACCTCACATATGTTCCTCGTACCCCGTTGGAGAAATGAGGCCGAGGATGGGAGTCGTTGCGCTGCTACTGGGGGCAGCTGTGGCGGATACGGTGGTGGAGTACGAGCCTTGGCATCGAGGGGTTGCGATTTCTTTGGGGCTGGCTTTGGCGCATGTGTGTGTCGTTGTCCTGGGGAAGGGGGCGAGGTGGTGTTGTACGGTTTGAGTGTTTTTTATAGTTGGCTGCGTTTTATGGATTAGGTTTGGTGTACTAATATCATTTATGTTGCTCTAGTGTTTTGATTGGAATTATTATGGGGCAGTTCGACTACAGGCGCGTTTGACAGATTTTGGGTAGGAATCTAACGCGATGTTAAGGTTTGACTTGGGTTTGACAATACGACTTGAGATAAAGGGAAAATAATGTATGTGTTTGATAAAATTATCGGTGTCTCTGGCTTCTACTATCTGAAACATTCAACTTTTTACAAGTCAAGCATGGCGCCGGAGCTACCACTACCCGACCTGCAGTCAGTGCTATCCAAGATAAAAAACTCGGAAAGCCTAGTTGTGTCCATAATCACTCACCAGTTCCCAGCCCGCGACCTCTACAAACTGTGCCCTCCAGATGTTTCTGAAGAGGCCATTTTATACAAGACACCCAGCTCCGTTCTTATCCCCCTCGAGGTCTACTTCGCGATCTTGTGTGAGTACCTCGGCAGCTTTTCGCAGTACATTGTCAAGGGCGCCCTCGCATACTTCAAACACCTCCAATATCTTAGCGACGAATATGAATGGTCAAGGGTTTTGGAGTACCATTGTGCGTATTTTGACCGACAGGTGGCTGAAATGCGGAGCGATTCTCTCCGATATCACACCGCCGTTTGGCTGACGCCGGATTATCAACTTATGGGCCAGCTCGACCCCATCCAGACGATAACGTGAGGATTTCATATCTTCCCATCCTACTTACAATGACAAATTCACGCCCCCCCCCCCCTTCTCTTTTTGAAACAGAGTGATGCTAAGGGCGACATATGATCCATTTGCTGACGGCGGGATAAAATACTACTGTTACGCTAAACACACCATCTTCAAATCCCTCTCATGGCTCCACCTTCCGTACCCTTTCGATCTCCCCTTTGAATGGAAGGTATCTCGCACATTCTGACAATCTAATTTGAATCTAATTCAAGTTCAAATATCCTCTCACCACAGATTCTTGACGTTGATTGCCTGCGTGGAGGGACCACCAGCAGCGGGACCGAGCTCCCAATAAGCGAGGTCTTCCGAGTCCATCTTCTCTCACCACAGGTTCTCGATGGCGATTGCCTGCATGGAGGGACCACCAACAACGGGACGGAGCTCCCAATAGGCGAGGTCATCCGTTTCCTCACACACGAGCCAGGCGGAAAATACCCTTTTCTCACTCTCATAAGTCAGTCGTCTCATTCAGTACCTGCTACCCGGGCCACCTCCGATCTCGTCAATATTTAACAGCCTAACCAATATTACGTTCTAGGCTTCGAAGATTTCTATAGTTCCAGGGATATGTGGTATGTAAGAAAAAGAGAGAAAGCCTGTGCTCGGAACCGGGAGGAGATGAACAGACAAGCTGAAGCTGAAGTTCAGCGGAAGGCTGAGCGCAATGCCTCTTATAGAGGCCTTCTGCAACGAGCACTGAGTATCTTCAGGCTCAATCGAAATCCTTGGTCCAATGCAAAGTCCACCGCCGAGTCCTCCGAGCGTGACTCTATGGACAAGGATTTAAAGACGGTTTCCTGTGCGTAAGCTGTCTATTATCACGTTGCCATACAGTACACAAGCTGTTCTGTCAAGAAATGCATGGGCCCTTCGTGCCCCAATTATTAGTAGAGGTAGATGTAGAGGTATACTTCAGAGCAGTCCCAATGCGGTTCCCGATCCTCGTAGCGTCTAGATACAACTATACATGGCACACCACTTACTGTTGCCATCCTGCAGCCGACTGACGAGAAAACGCAACCCCCTCCTATAAATTGCATAATCAGTACCTCCCTCCCCAACTTCACCACCACCTAATACATTACATCCGTAATAAGTCGGGTCGAGAGGAAAAGACCCATAAAAGAACGACCCATGATTTTTGTATGGCGAGTCGATGAAGAGCAAATTCTGCCAAGCATTGCGCAATCCAGAGTCAAAAGCCTGATTCGGCAATAGTAGCCCCGAGAAGTCGCCGGATGTAATCGGAGCACCACCAAAAGTCGCCAAGACATCTGACAGAAAAAACTTTCTTCAAACCTACAAAAGGCTTGTTTGACTCTGGCGCCTCACAGGACTTTTCTCCCCGCGTAACAGGCCTCTCTGCGCCGGTATCTCCCTCGTCAAATGGCGGACCAGAAAAATAATCTGGGTGTCCCAGGACAAGAGCAACACAACTTATCGTCACAAACGTCGACGGTTGACGCGGAATCCGCCAATCCGTGGAATGGAGTAAACGTTGCTGCGAAGGACGATGTTGAGCGTGCGGGGCCCAATGGCAATACTGCGGTTTCTTGGTGGAGATATTTGAACGAGGATGTAGACACGGCGCAGACGACAGGCCCGTTGGCTTTATACTGTTTTATGACTGGCTACATGTGCGTCTTCACTTCTAACTTCCATCCAATACCCTTCCTCACATTGCATCTAAAGAGATGTCATCTCCTTCTCCGCAATTTTCGTTTGGTGCGGTTTCCAAACGGGTAACTTTGCCCAGGTATCTCCTTATCGCCTCCTCCGCTTATCGCAAGACCCACACGCTTCCCCCCTCCCTCCTAGCTTGCTATCGCCCTAGCGCGTCTCTTCTACGGACCTTCGGGGTCCCGAGACACTTCGTTCCACAGAGCCGATCAACAAGCACTAACTTCGCTAATCTCCTTCAACGCCGGCGCGTTCGTAGGCCGCATTGGCGACCGTGTGGGTGCCCACAAGCGTATATGGCTCATCGTCGGCACCTTCATCCAGGCTGTGCTCACCATGGCTGCTGCCATTGCTTTTTGGAAGAGCGGCCAACCGAGTATATCGAACGCTAGAGACGATCCGGCGTGGACGAACGTGGCGACGTTTGTTGGCCTCGCATTCATGAGTGCTAGTCTCGGTGTTCAGGGTATTGTGGGGAAAAGACTGAATACCCAATTCGGAACTACCAGTATGTATTGATTTTTCTTCTTCCTATCTCTTCATCTAATGCTAACAATCGTTACAAGTCGTACTCACAACCGTCTGGGTGGAGCTCATGTCAGACCCACGCCTCTTCCGCCTCCGACAACGCGTGTTAACGCGAGATCACCGACTTATCGCTGCAGTCTCTCTATTCATCGGTGCCTTCGTCGGTCGCTGCATACTACAGAAAATCGGTACCGCCGGAACGCTGGGAGTCGGTGTTGGCTTCAGGATTCTCAGCTGCTTCACCTGGCTTTTCGTACCCACTAAGCGTGGCCAGGAGCGTAATACGCCCCCACCCACCACCACCGCTGAATGATACGCGTTCTCACCGAGCTCACCAACTTCTCGCTGAGTGTGACACGGCCCATTAATCATGTGGTTTTTGAGTCTAACGCGTCCTCATGATCCGATCATTACGTCTACCATACCCTCCCCCCTGGCCGTGGAAATTGGCCTTTGCTTCCCGCTCTTCTGCTTCTTGCTTTCCTCTGGTTCGTCCCATACATCCATTCACGACCTTTCTTTTTGTTGCTGTGGTTGATAGATGTTTGTCTCACTATTCTGACATTTTAGACTGACAAATGCATTTTGTATCTATATACCGAAACTCATGAATCATAATTTTTTTAGACGTTTGATGGCACTCGAGGGCCTTGAGAAAAGTGCACTTGAAGATAAGCCAAAAAAGTCTGTTCAACTGCCATATACAAACATGAAAATAAAATGAACGTGATACGTCTTCAGGAAATAACCCCCGTCGACTCTGCTAGAAAATCAAGAGAAGGCCGCAAGGGCTTCGTCCCCGAGCGCTTTGTACTCCTCCTGTAGCTTGATGGCCCTGCCGAGCAACTCAGGCTATTGCGAAATAATTACTCAACCGAATTTCACCAAGTGCAACCACAAATATCCGTACCGAAATATGATTAACAAGGGTTCCTAGGAGTTTGGGATACAGACCACTGATAAACTCAGTTAGGATTGGCTTGACAAGGGGGGTGACTCCAAGCTGATCAAAGGTGAATTTCCCGTCGATAAATCCGTTGACGGCGTTCCTGGCAATGGTATAATAGCTGGCCAGTGTCGATATCACCAACTCTTGAGATTCTTCGTCATCCACCTGGATGTTCTGCAAAATAAATCTACAGTCAGTTTCAAGGCCACTGATGATAAGATATCTCATTACGTCAAAGATGCTTATGCCTTGTGCGACAATGGCATTGAAAGATGCGCCGTCACTTTCTAGCTGCTAAAAAAAAAAAACAGGTGAAGCTTGAGGCGGAGGGGCATCTTATGTGCTCACAAAAAATTTGGAAATGGTTCCACCTGCGCCAGAAAATGGGATCAGATCCGCGGTAATGGTGTCGATGCCTGATCCCAGCGCCACGAGGTACTGCTGTAGCGCATCGAGCTCTTTCGCCGTGTATGAGAACGCGACATTGACTAGGCTGGCAGTGAGAAAGAAGATAGTAGTGAACCTCATTGTTGGAAGGCTGACTTGAGCGGATGAGAGGCCAAGGGAGGTGGGTGATGGGGAAAAAAACTGCGCGTGCGCACTCTTATCTATAAGTTGGAGGTGGGTTCTGGTGGACTAATATCCATCCGAATGAGACGCCTACGTTTGAACTGGTTAAAATTTTGAATGGAGCTTCGTTGAGCGATGCGATGCGCCGATGCGGATAAAACTAGGAAGTCGTTGATGATTGAATCGAACGGGAATAGGCTGCGTCGGCGAAATGACGTGCAGTGATGGCAACTTCTATCATACCGATCGCTTTTATATGCCATTGCAGTAGGTTGGTAGCCTACAGGTGCCAGTCACTATTTGTTGAGCCAAGGACGAAACAGGTGAAGTAACAAAAAAATCATTCTATCGAAGAACTCCCCGGATGACGAGTCGGAAGAATCGGCCAAAAAAAATATGGGAGTGTGGAAGCGTAAAGACTGGGTGTGTACGCCCTTATTTTACCTTTGTTGTCGCAAAACTATGACCGCAATGCGCATGACCAGCCAGGGGTTAGAAGCGAATCAGGAGTCGACAATACAGCTTCGCCTCTTGCGTTATTGCCGAACAGTTGACACTCGTATTTGCCTAACAGTGCTAATTTATTTAGACAGCCTCACAAAAATAGCCCTCAATTTTATTAGAAGATAGAACCCACCTCCTATCTGTTAGATCCGAAACTTCCAAGCTACAGCAGAGTACAGAATCCTTCTAAAATCCCTCACTCAAAACGACACCTTATGCGATTTACACAGTGGGAATACTTGTAGAAATGTGATAGGGGCAAGCGATTAATAAAATCAGTCTATACGCCTGAAATCGTCGCAGAAAAATGTCGGTCAACCATAGAGATCACCCTTCAAAGCGCATTTAATATTAAACTCCCGGTTAGACTTTTTTATGAATAAAGTGATCAGTTTATTATGCGCAAGTCTGTCCAACTTCAAACTGTAACGCCGCGCACACCTGAGTTTTGCGACAGAATATTAATTCCAAAACTTGTAGACTTACATTCAATAGAATCATGGGGACTTGATTTAAATACATACGTCCATCCCTAGCTGCCCTGGGCTTGGTTCTTTTGTACACTGACCTGAAAAAATGTAATTGTAGGTTGCAAGATGATATAGAATGAGAGAAGCGAACCCTGGGCAGTGGTGGTCGGAAAAGCACTCATGGTTGCCAAAATGAAGCTGAGGTATAGGGTGACTCTCATGAGAGGAAGCATCGCGAGGGGGATGGCATCTACAACAACCGTCCGCTCTTTTATTGTAGACTCGGGCTTCGACGCGTGGTCTTGCATCAACATCGTTTTTCATAGCTCCCGGAGAACGTCAGTTGACTTACGGCATATCATGATCGAAAACACATTTTATTGAAACGCCCTCATACTATAATAGCTATATACCTGAGATCGGCGTCTCAAATTTCAGATATACAGGACTTACAGGAAAGTTAGATACATTCATCCGGGTTACAACTTTCACCAACGTCCCTTGTGTATTGGTCACGGCGGTCGACTAAAAATTTATAGTCGTGAGTTCGAAGCCGAAACAGAATGAGAGGATCAGACGTTGGGAATTGGCAGTCTGGAGGATGCTCGCGGTCGTCATAATGAAGATGAAATATGTAGCGACTCTCATTAGGGGAAGCAATGGGTGGGCATTTTCTCGACGACCGCACACCCTTTTATCTTAGACTCTGGCTTCGACACCTGGCGACAATGTGGCGTTCACATGAACCTGTTCTAGCTTTATTTTTTCACTTTTTTCAAAGTACTGATAAAGAGTGGTAAGTCGCTCGATTTATTTTGCGCTCAAGGATATATTCTATATCTCAGGACACTTTCATACTACTACGCCCACACCTGAGTACCGCGTCTCGAAATTTCCAGGAATACCAACTTACGGGGAAATGAATTCAAATGCATTCGGCCTCCGTTGTACACACCCCCCGCGGACCCCCAAAATATTGGTCAGGGCTACCAGCTGGAAAACTATGATCATAAATTCGAAGAGGAAATTTCGCGAGAGAATCTGACTTTCAGAATTGGCAGTTGGAAGCGCAGTGCTCGAGGTTGCGATAATAACGGCGAGGCACACTATGAGAGCAATCATTGAGACGGTGGGCCTTCTACCAGAATGACAGGTGCTTTTATCTTATTTTCCAGCTCCAACGCGTGGTCCAAGTCACAGCGCTTCGACGTCTTTAACATGCCTTCTTTAAAACGCAGATGGAGGCAATCTAATTAAGAGAGTATGGCCAACTCGGCGCATGCTCCTGAGTCCCATTAAGGTAAACTTCTCCTCATACTGCCTCCAAGTTATCGCCGGGATCAGCCCCGTTACTCGTGAATTTTATAATATTTATAATAAAATTTATTGTTTGATAGGCAGGCCAAGAATATATGCTACATATCTACCGCTCTAATGAAGCAGCTCCGTACCTTTGTGGGGAGGTGACACAAATTTACTTCAATTTTACTCTTCTCGTTCTTCCTTATAACTGGCAAAACTATTCTTCACACATCCTGAGAAATCAGGAAAGTTGATTTACTACATTAGAACAGAGGTACAATTTCGTAAGGCTTGATACACGTACATGCTTGAGTTCTTAGTCTCAAATTCATAAAACAACAAGACTTACATGGGCATGGTTGGCAACTGGCAACTAAATACAGATGTCAGGATTATCATGGACTCCGGGACAAGCATTAGGAGTTGCTGCAATGTTGTAGTCGTAAGCTTACAAACATATAGAAAAAAGGATCTGACTTTGGGAATCAGGATTGGGTAGAGGAATCCTCAGAGCGCTTCCGCCCGCCAGCGTCAAGATGAGGCACACGACAACTTTCAAGAGAGCAAGCATCTGGGGACTAGCAGATATCGTCAACGACCGCACGCTCTCTTATCTAGTCTGGCTTCGACGCGTGGTGGTACTTATCAAACACGCGTTAGGGAATCTTCTCTGCCTTGTCTCTGCCATCGTCGGTTTCCGGAATTTAGTAACGAAGTAGCGCCTCGTCGACGCACACCAAGTGCATGTTAAGTGTGAGTCCAGCTTTATAAAAAGCATAGTCTTGCCGCTATCAAGCAAATCCGTGTTAGAGATTACTTTATGTAAACTGGGAAAGTGTCTCCTGACTTCAGTGGAAGTTCATAAATAAAGCAAAACAAATATATCCAAATAACGCTGCTTCGACAAATCAAAGTTTGCAGAAAGTTGCCACCAATCCGCTACGGTCCAAGTTACCAAGAACAGTCAGATCGGGTCATACGCATGCAATGCGCTCAGCTTGGAGACTCAATGAACTCCCCCTTTCCTCCATTATGATCCCAGGCAAAGTTGGAATCAAACTCACGAAGATGTGCTAGGTGATCATGGCTACACCATACGTTGCGTTGCCCTCCGAGCCAGCCTCCCAACGACGTGAAAACGAGCGAGCGTACTATGTGGGGAGTAGCTGTTGGTAAACCCGCTCCAAATAGCTGAATTAACGTTGACGCATCTCAATATATAGGGGAAAGATATCTGTTTATATGGGCCTGCATAGGCTGCATCTGCTCGTCAACGCTTTCTCTTCTGGTGTATCTCTCCAATTCGTCCCAGGCGCCTCGAGTGCTGGCCCCGTTACGACGCCCGAACCCCTACCCAAATCTCAACAGTGTTTTCCGGAATACCACACACGACCCCTTCCCGCCCATCGTCTCACTCTCCCAGCTTCTCCTGCAGGTTTATACTTCAGATCCACAAAGGGAGCTCCACGAAGAGACACGAGAACATGATACAACGTTAGGGGTTGTCTACCCAGACGATAGGCACTTCATTATCTCTCCCAACGTGTGTCCTCCATTTCTTTTCCTTCAAGCCCTCTTACAAACGACCACAGATTACGACTATTGTTCAATTTCGTACCCTAGATTATGGAATGGAGCGCTGCACATTACACGCCTCTCTCCCTGACAAGACGGATGCGCTTGATCCAGCAGCCACCATCGTCCACCCCAGCACACTCGATATCTGGAGGTTGAACATAGACTATGAAATAACCCGACATAGGCCGGAGAGCTGGAAATTTGCACCACTGCGAAAGTCTCTCTTTGGCACTTTTGAATTTCCGCAGGGTGAAGACTGGGCTTCTGACGATTTTCATTGCCGATCGCTCTCTTACACTACGCTTGAATTCACATGCTCTACAAAGACGCCGGATTGCCATGTCGACTTTTGGCAAGATAGAGCGTCTGCTAATGGTTAGTTAATTTCGAGATTTACGCTCGTCAAGCATTGACGAGGAGTTGTAGGGATATACATCCGCCAACATGATTCAATTCGAGGGGCTTTGTTGTGATAAAGACACAGCACATAATACGCTCTGGAAATACGCCAAATCTCAGGTTTCCCCTCACGGACGCGACGATTCGGGATTCAGAGCCTTGAAATAGCTTCTTCACATAACTTTGTAGGTTGCTGGTTGAATCAGAGTCTCAATGCTGCCTTGTGCATGGCTGATCCGGAAATAAGAAGTCAATGCAATGCGATACGTTGTGCCGGAGCTTCTAAGAGGGGCGCGTCGTTAGAACACCACGATTCCCAATAAAGCAAGGAAGCTTTCCGGGCGAAAACCAAGCTCTGTGGACGTGGAGTGAAGCTCGCCTTCTAGATCACTTGCCGTGCTGTCCTCGGCTTAGCCCTCATGAAAGGGAGGTTGATGGCTTCACTAGTCAACTGAAGAGTTTTGGTATATCCGGCGTCCACTAATCACCACGCTACTTACGCCCATAGGTATCATTCAACGTAACTCTCGCCCTCGTCTCCCCACCCTGTAGCCTAATCCACGTATCAACACCCTTCTTCGGATCAGGGGACCTGAACACAATGTTTCGTACACCATATCCCCACTCAGGTTCACCATAACCTCCATATCTACACCGTTCTTGCGTAAACGAGGGGATAGGAGAGTAAGATGGGGAGAGAAACGAACCCAGAGTGCTTGTTGAAGCAGAAAACGACGTCCTTCGCGGGTTCGCGAGCACACCACTCGTTCCCGTGGTCTGCAAGCAAGCTTTCGAACCAGATCGTAGAAGTTCATGGTAGAACGTACCGTGACCTGAGATGATGGCGTGCAGGTTCTTTACGTTCCCTGTGAGTGCATCCCAAAATGGGCCGTCTTTTCCAAGGGTGGATGGGTCATTTGAGGCTTGTACAGAACCACCGCCCAGTGTGTCCGCTGGAGGTTCTGTCAGCTGCTGCGAGTAACGAAAGGGGGAGGAGGGACACCCGTACCGTTCAACCCGGGGTTCTTTGTGCTATCTAAGTTTGTTTGAAGTGCTTGTACAGCATGGCTGGCGCAGACAGAGAGAGCTCAGTACTGCAAAAGAAGGGAGGGGATAGGGGGAGCGGCATACGGAGGAATGTGCACGAAAGCCAAAGCTCCGCGGGTATCAGCTGGTCCCCAGGCCAATTCCATGGCTTTGGACTCGCTCTTGATCCAATCTGCGACGGAGGAGTCAACCCAGTCAGGGAGGGCAGTCGAATTGGGCTTTGTCGAAACTCCACCTGTGAACGCGGTCAATCAATGATTTTACTGTTGAAAACAGAATCTGGTGGGGATTCCATACCGCGCGAGTCGAAGAACCAGAGAATCAGAATAGGAGCGCGATCCCAGAAGTGTCTGTAAATCTGAATGAACGTTAACCAAGTTTATGCTTGCTTGTAAAGAATCTCTTTCAAGTGACCACATACGGGGACCCAGTAATTTCCCGGTCCTTCAGTACCTCCAACCCCAGCAGGTGCCGTGCGGGTATAGCTCAGCGGAGCGATCCTCTGCTCTCGTTCAATTTCTTCCAAGTGGGTGATGTTCACCTGATTGTCGTGATTCTGGGCGTCCATGAGTCTGGATATCAACGTGTAAAATGGTTCAGCTCACTCCATGGGTAGAAGAGAACGGAATCCTTGCTTGATTGAGAGGCGCAACGATTTGGTCAATGAGCAAGGTCGAGTTCTGTTTGTATGTGTCTGGTCCGGGTCATAAGATGGTCAGCCTGAGTCTTCAACTGAAGACGCGACTCACTCTCTCCCGTAACCAGATCTCCGTTCAAAACACTAGTAGTGAAGGAGGTTGAGCTTATCCAAGATGACAATGGACAGATAGTAGCAACATACACATAATCCGGTTTCTCACTCGCCAACACCGTCTTCATCAAGATGGTACTGTTCTTGTCTTGCTCCGGACCCCAAACGCCCTCCGGATTCTCGCCAAAATGAAGATCCGAAAAGACAGTCAACTTGAATGTCCCATCCCACTTAAAGGTGAGGCGCGGTTTGTGCGGGTACGGATTGAGTCTATGTCGTTCTGTTTCTCAGTGTCAGAAGAGAGAGTGCCTGAAGAGATATGGAAATTGTACTCACCAGTAAGTTGGAAGATAACGGGTGATGCCACCGCCGATTGGAGGTTGGTGAGGGCACTGAGTAGGCCGGCCAGGTAAAGGGAGCTCCTCATCGCTAGGAGGTGTATCCTACTCAACCTCGCGATAATAATCGAGGAAGATAGAGAGCAGTGAAGAGCTCGAGGGAGAGAACTGTCATGCCGTTTTTGTATGGTGATTAACTTGGACAAGTTGGTCGTGACAACGGAGGCGCACGTGTGTACTGATCCACGACAAATCCACAATCTCGGTATCATAGATTCATACACATGCAATAAATAACATGGATGCTCAATGCGACGTGACAAAACTCTCCAGAAATATTAATCATCACACCACCTTACAATAGACCTGATCCCACTTTGCCAGGTAATCCCTCCGCGAAAGCCCATCAAACGTCTTCACACCAGGCAACGACATCGCCAACGCCGTTTCGCACTGCGCCAGAATCCCCGCACAGTACCCCACATTCCCAATCTTCAAATGCTTGAGCTTCCAATCCGTGTAAACGTGGTTCGGCATCTCCGAGCAGAACTCCTGGATCGGGATCTATCGTAGGGAAATCAGCAAGAGCTATATGATGGAATGGATGGACAAGAACGAACGTGACGATGAGAATAGGAGCGCGTCATGCTGAACGTATGATCGTGCCCAACAAATGTCCCAAAAGACAGATTGAGCCGCTCGAGATCAGGGAGCTTGACCGATAACACATCGAGGAACGACGGACTCAGATGGGTGAGCCATAAATCCAGCAACAAAAGCCGTGAACTACTACGCTCAAACACATCAATGATGTCATAAGCTTCGAGGTGAGTTGCTTGATGATGATTGAGGACGAGGGTCGTCAAAGAGTCCCTGAATTGATGCAGATATGGTACTACGCATTGGACGAGGCGCGTGTTGTGGCCTAGAATATTCAGCTCCAGTGACTTGAGGTTCGGCAGAGATACTTTGAACATCGGATGCGCGAATAGGGCACATGGAGCTGGTGGTTGAGTCGTCAGTCCGAACAGGTGACCAAACCGGATCCGAAGAGTAAGGAGGTTGCCTGATTGCGCCTTGAGCAAGTGATGCAGACCAGCTGAATCTGTTTGTTGAAGGCTTATCAACGGAAAATAAACATCAATCTTGGTCAGACGTGGGAGATACTCGAGTTCCCCGAACATCGGAGATATGTTGTAGTTGAATGCCATGGGGGTGGAGATGGTAAGGGATTCGATGGTCAAGCTGTGTCGATTGACGAAGGGAACCAGAACGCTGCGCACGAGCTTCGTGGCATCCGTCGTGAGATACGCGGTGAAAATGTGGATCGATAGATCCTCAAGGCTTGGAAGCCTTAAAGACGGAGGTAGACACTCCTTGCATGCCTCAAGAGGAATCTTGAGCGACAATGTACGCAAGACAGATCCATATGCTAACCAACCATTCGTGATGAACGGAATGGCGAGCTTAAAATCATTGTAGTCGTCCACGGGGTAATTCTGACACTCGAGGTTCAGAGTCACCAGGTTCGTCAAGTTGGTGATGCTCCGCAACAATTGCACTGATGCCTTGGCGGTAGCAGCGGACTGCTTCTCCTCCTTCGAGAGCTTGCGTAACAAACTCTGGCTCAAGCTCTTCTTCTGTCCATGAAAAGCGAGTGGCTTCCCAAAGAGATGGGGACGAAGGTGGAGGGTACGGACGCGTCTTGCAATGTCCGGAGAGCTGCGAGTACGTGAGTTACATGCAACGGACATAAAATAAAATAAACTGCGCACCCCAAGCCAACCAAACATTGACGTGTCATCTCATCACCCAGGTGGTAGATACGCGTTTCTCGATAACGCTCGTTCATCACAATGTCGAATAATATACGGTCCACGCCGTACAGGCGAAGAAGCTCATTGCGCGGAATGAACTGGACTATACATAGCCATACGTCATAGGGGATGTCCCTCATCGGTTGGTGACTGAGTTCTTGGTAGGGAAGGCTCAGAGAGAAGCCGAATGTGTGTAATTCCATTACGTTAAGGGGTCAGTTATAAGGCTGTCGTCAAAGTTGCCCTGTCCCGTGTGGCTGGGTATACACCAGAAGGGCGGTGCAGCGGAAACCGTAGTGAAAGCTGTCCAACGACGGCTGTGAGTCATGAAATGGCGGCGTCCACTGGGACCTTATCAGAGGGCTTGGGCACCAGAAGGGGGTGAGAAACCTGGGAAGATGTTAGTCTGGGTACACTGAAGGTTCTTTCGGAAAAATTGATTGGAGTTTGACCCACATTTACGCCACATCTTCCATGATTCGTGGTCGATCTGTCAGGAGACATTCGAACAGAGCGGCGCGGACGGCGGTCTTAGGATATGTCGATGAATGATGATAGCAATTGACATGATAGTGGCGGCATCGGAATATGACATTGAGAGTTCAAGGCAAGAGAGCGGCTGAACCCTTCGATGCTAACAGCACAAAATATGAATTCAAATTTGAGCGTCGATACAAAGAACGGACTGGCCAGATACACTTTTAGTAAGTACAACGAAGAGGGCGAGCATAGGAGAGATAGGGATTGGCATAAGGGCATAGTATAAATCATATAGAAGGTGCATGGGTTAATTTAACGGATAAGAATACCATCCATTCCAAATCCATTCTATGATCGTGCCGTGGTCAAGAAACGAGTAACCCTTCCAACCGCCTCCTTGACAAGAGCATGCTCCTCAACGTGCACCTTGCCAAGAATCTTGCCGTCGTACTTGTCAGGGTGGAAACGAAGGAGCTCGTTCTTCACCCGCTCCTTCTTGGTTTTGGGTTCATAGCCCGGTCGCTGAGGGTTGAAGAGAAACTCGGAGAAGCGTTCGGGAGTGAGGTCATGGATGGTGTAGACGTCGTGGAGAACGGGCCATGGAAGCTGGGAGAACACAAGAAGGCCGCCAACATCACCCTTCAACGCGTCCCATTTCCACTCGTAAAGGTTCCAGCGATCAGCGTCGGTAGGTTGAGCGGGAGGAGGAGTGGGAGTGGGTGCAGGCACTTCTTCTGCCATGGATACGTCGGATGCGGAAGGACCAGAGCCGGACCAAACGTCTTGCATTGAAACGTCCCTCCAGAGACGTGGTTCCCTCGCTTGATGGGCCTCGACTTGCTGCTGCATCCGGGCCATCTCCTCAGCATAACGGCGGGCCTCCTCCTCCCGTGCTTGAACCTCAAGGGCAGCTCGACGATTTGCTTCTTCCTCTCGAATGCGGGCCTCATGTGCCTGGCGCTCAAGCTCTTCCCGTGCTCGCTGTGCCTCCAACTCTGCCTTCTTGCGAGCCTCTTCTTCAGCTCGAGCCTGCGCCTCCGCCGCTTGGCGCTCAGCAAGAAGTCGAGCCGCTTCAGCCTCGGCACGTTCTCTCCGAGCCTTCTGCGCCGCCAGAACACGCCTATGGTTCTCTTCTGCAAGTTGAATATTGGCCTCCCTTTCCTTCGCCCAACGCCTCCTTTCCTGCGCACGGCGCTTCTCCCTTTCTTGACGGTCACGCTCACATTCGGCAAACAGAGCCTCGTACTGGATGCGGATACTCTCAGCACGTTCAGCGTTGATACGAGCCTCCATCTCCAGCATGTCCTTCTGCGCCTGTGCCATGCGGGCAAGGACGGCCTCCTTATCCTGCTTTTCCTTCGCCCTATCATTGTAGTAGTCGATAATAAACTTGTCTTCGACCTTACGCATGTCCTGATACGGCGCATTGCGGGCCTTGCGCTCGGCTTCCAAGACAGGAGCCATACGCTGAGCACGTTCGGCGCTGGCGCGTTGGGTCTCGAGGCCGTTGAGAACTTCAGCCATGTTGTGGTTGATGTTGAGTTTCTCCAACTGAGTCATGAAGATCTTGTCCTCGGGCGTGAGATGGGGGGCAGCGTGCACAGCGACACGACGGACTTTCTGAGCGATGGCGTCGAAGTCGAAGGCGGGGGCAAGAACAACGGGGGGCTGAGGGTTGGGCTGGGCATTGGGCTGGGCGGCGTTGCAAGGGCCAGCCTTGCTCAAGTTGTGATACGAGCGAGCCCTGACGGAACGCTGCTGACGAAGGGGTTTGGCGCACAGGCGCTGGGAAGGGCGACGGCGTGGGTCCCCAGGAGGATAACACTTCTTACGAGGATTTGGTCGAGGAAGAGGGCGATAGCTTGGTTCACTGGGAATAATGCGTCTAAAGCTTGAGGCCCGCTCAGTGGATCCACCACAGAAACCGAAGAGTCGAAGGGGAGAGAAGTAAGGGGAAGCGCGAAACTTAGAAAGGGCCTTCTTCGGGGTTGAAAACATGTTGAGTGTATGTATAACTGCCCATTGTTTTAGACCGAAGCATGATACGAGATGGTGTTGAGATATACCTTGTAGTTTCGATTGAGACGAGTCAAAAAGTCCGTGAAGTTGAGTTCGTAGTATTGTCCGTGTAGAGTTGAGTCCGTGTAAGAGGTATGTCTGTCGAGGTTGTCGGTGTCTTGATGTAAGGAATAAAACATGAGGAACGTCCCAGCTTTATAGAGTGACAAATGCGGCCTACAGCATTGTCCGCCAAAATGAGAAGGCAAGTTGAGAGCTCGAAACCAATCCATGGGAATCAAGGTCAGAATTACCAAAGGTGGCAACTTTCGGGTGGCCAGGGAGCCATATGTTGTCGATCAATGTGGCCGAGAGACCGATTAGGAATTTTGATAAGATTGTTGAGGCCACGATGCTACATTTACGACGAAGGCCACGGTGGCCTTAGATTATTTGAATCTCCGTATTGTGCTTTTTGGTGGCCAGTAATAACTTGGCGTTTTGTGAGCCACTGTTAGTGATAGGTAGCCGACAACTGAAGCCTCTGCCCCAAGCGTTAGGAAATTCGCGCGAGTGTTACTTACTAGCTGGCCATCAGTATGGGTCGGGCAACATTATCATGGATCGAAACTTACTTACACTTCGCCATGGCCAATTTCACAATTTACCAAAGATTCCAAAAAAGGAAATAACATTGAAGACAAGGGGGCTTGCCAACAACGCTGTGGCCTGGTTGCCCTTGCATTATTGTGAGCGTACAATCATACAAAGGGTGGACCGGACAAAGCGGGTTGCATCTAGAAAATGATATAAGGCCAAATTCCAAGGTCACGATGAATCAAACTAACCAGTGGCATTCGCAGTCCACTTCACCCCACCATCTCTACAGCCTTCATTTCAATATGCGAACTACACGAAGCGCCACCCAACGATTCCAAGCTGCAAAAGAGCTCCAAGCCGAAACTCAGCCCAAGACTTCTCGCGTAACTCGTTCCCGCGGTTTGAAGCGCACTACAACGGAAGTCGAGATTTCTGTCTCCGCCACAGGTCAAGGGACACACATTAAATGGATTCGTCCGACCAAGGGAGGCGCTTCGATGACGGGGGTCATCCGCCTCCAGGACCAAGAGAACTTGGTTCCAGGTAGCGCCACACTCGACGACAATGGCTCTGGTAGTTTTGTGGATGGTCGTTTCGTCACACCCCCTCCTATCCAACAAGCCACACCCGCTGCTCCTCGCAAGGTGGTCCAACGTCAAGACAGAATCGGGAATCCGGGGATCATGGGTATTCCGGCAATGAACTTTGTCATCGACGTCCCCGAGGACGCAGGCCGAAACCAGATCAAGAAAAGCGTCGTCAAGGGGTATCTCCAGCAGCAAGCTGGGCTGAAGCCGTGGCCTTCTTTTCCATTATCCAACACCTTTATCATGTACGAAGAACAGAGCGATGACGAAGAGAATGATGAAGAACAGGGCACATCCTCCCTCGCTTCTCCCTTTTCCGAGTCTCCCACATCCACACTACAGAGGAGGATGCTCAGCCCTCATGGAACGCATTTGATTATACCCGGGACCCTGGACCCAATCATGGAAAGTGACAATTACGAGGAACGAGGCGCTACCCCAAGGCGCCTGTCTGCCCCTCGGGCTCTGACCCCTTTTCCAGACGTGCCAATGAGTTCGCCCCAGAAGACGCGAGGGTTGGGTCCATGTGGTACAATCCTGATTGGAGAGGATGGCAAAGCGATCAAAGGAGGAGGCTCTAGTACCCCGAGGCGCCTGTCTGCCCCTCGAGCTCTTACCCCTTTTCCAGACGTGCCAATGAGTTCGCCCCAGAAGACTCGAGGGTTGGGTCCATGTGGCACAATCCTGATTGGAGAGGACGGCAAAGCGATCGTACCAGGTCTTCAACCGGGATACTAAAGCGGTAGCATACCGAACTAATCTTCACCCACTTCTCGCCCTCCAGTACATGCTATCCTGTATCCAATATGTTTTTATGTCTGGTCAATGTCCCATGTTTTATTATAAGGAGAGCTAGACGACTTACGCACCAATGCCATATGGTTCCACACAATTGTTGAGAGATTCAGCCGCTTGAACCAAATCATCTTGTGCGATGGTATGTGAACTTTTTCTCTTTATCCAGTGGCGAAGAAACAAGGATTCGACAGTTGGTAGTGTGAACAAAGGGAGAAATGGTGATGAGTCTGCACGTGTCATCGGAGGCTCGGATGTAAACTTCGATCAACTAAACCTCCTCATACATCAAAGTCAACGTCGAAGTCACCGCCAATCGATTCTCCCAAATAGCTATCACCTTTATTTTATTGCTTGACGAACCATGCTAGACCTTCCCACAGAGCTATGGAGGCATATCGCCCATTTTCTTCCTCCTGAGGAGATCAAAAGGCTCTACAGCGTCAATCAAACCTTTTACCATCTCGCAATGGATGAAACGTACCGAGAGGTCAGGTTTGACTGCGTCAATAGAGATCTGTTGCATAACGTAGACTTGCTCAAGTAAGTCGAGATGCAAATTGTCAGACCCGAAATAACGCATCCATCCACAGATCTCCAGATATCGCTCGACGTGTCCGATCGTTCCATATATCATCTCAGCTCCTGCTTGATACCGAAATAGACTCAACAGATGGCTTCGGGATGAAGATATTATCGTTCACTTCACGGGTTATCCGTCGGCTAAAGCCAACGTCAGAGAAAATTGTAGAATCTATCACCAACATCATGCCAAATCTGACTGAAGTTCAGACATTCAGCGTCTCTTGGCATTGCTTGAGCGAGACTGGCACCGACATTAGGTGGTCTTTCTTCGCCCCCAACTTGCAACATCTTCGCTTATCCATTCCGCCGACCCACTTGTCTTGCATTCCATACTCCGTCGACTTCCCGAAATTGAAGACCTTTTACATCAAGTTCTTGATAGAGCATAACGATGAACTAAAAGTGGATGCCTTGCAGATGCTAGCTTCGTTCATAGACCAACAACGTCCTCGCCTGCAGAAGCTCGCCATCCGGGCCTCGCGGACAACAGATGTCTCGGCATTGTTCCTTTCTTTGGGAAAGTTTGAACACCTCATATCACTTGACCTCGACGACACATGCGCTCGTTACCCAAGAGGAGGGGCGGGGGTTGACCCCTCCGTTCAATTCATGAACGAGAATGCTAGCACACTCCGTGATCTATCACTAGCCTCAAAGCTCACAGGTTCATGGCTCAACTTCAAATATCTCCATCTCCGGAACCTCACATCCCTCCTTCTCAACTCTAACTTACTCCTCCCATCGAAAGAGTTCTGGGATGACCAGCTGTCCGTGTTCCTAAGAAATGTGGCCCATTGCCTGAAATCCTTGGTAGTCCTTGGTCCTTTGAGCCAAGAGGAGCTCGCATGGTTGTTCTCCATCCTAGACACCAGCGATTCAGAAGGCGGGCTACGAACCTTGGCAATAGGAACTGCCAGTCTGACCAGGGGACTTATAGTCCAAATCTTGGAGAAGCTTCCCCGTCTTGATAGCCTTACACTGCGTATTCATGACATTAGCGAGACAGGAACATATCCCGTCACTCCCGATGAGGATTTCCCGATCTCTGTGAGTACAAGCCCCTCCTCGTCTTTTGAATAGCTTCTATAATCTACTTTTTCAGAAATCAAGCGAGGAGCACCCGTTCGCGGCTCGCCTGCGTGAGACTTCCTTTGATGGATGGAAGCTGCGCGATATCACGGTTATGCGCAAGTCTTGCTGCGGCCAACTCTTCTTGTGGGGCTTGATGAAGCTTTTCGCGGAATGTATACCAACTGTGACGAGTCTCGCTGGAAATGGACATATGGCGATACCTGACCCACCAAACCAAAAACGAGCGGGAGGCACAACCGGTTGTACTGACATGGTTTGTTCTTACGGGAAAGCTGGTACAAGGACTTCTAGGGAATTCCCTTCCTTTGTGTACGTACCATAACTTGTGTTCTTCAGGTTTTACAAATAGATTGGTTGAAAACACTGACTCTTCGCATCTTTTACATGGTAGCAGCCACGAGACAAGTCAAGTTGCGATATCGCCAGGTACGGTCCAGTGTATCAGCACGTGGTGGCAATCGCTTTCTCTGACAGTGATCAAGCCAACATGAGGCCTAGGCGTTACGGCAACACTCCGACTTCAGAATCAACATCCGATTCATCAACTCTTGGACGCTCTTCACCGTCAAGCTGTGTGCTTAACGAAACATGCCAGACCTCCCTCTAGAGCTATGGATGCATATCGCCCAATTTCTTTCCACTGAAGTAGTCAAAGATCTCTACGGCGTCAATCAGGCCCTTTATCATCTCGCAATGGATGAAAAATATCGAGAGGTCAAATTCAATTGTGTTGATTCCGATCTATTGCACAAGGTAAACTCGCTCGGGTAAGTCTATACGCAAGACATGTCAAATCCGACTTAGTAACCAATCCATCCACAGATCTCCAGACATTGCCCGACGCGTTCGATCGTTCCACATTTCTTCTCACTTGCATGATGCCGATGACTCTTACTCGTTCACTTGGCGCACTGCGGTACTGGAGGACATTGTGCAGTCCATCATGAACGTCATGCCAAACTTGATCAGGGTGCATACGTACGGCGTCTGTTGGCAAGGTCGAGGGAGCGATATTAATCCCCCCATCGTTGATGCCGGGTGGACCCACTTTGCACCCAACTTGCAACATCTTGGCTTATCCATTCCCGCATCCCGTCTGCCCAGTGCCATTCCACATTCATTCCAGTTCCCAAATTTGGAAACGCTATATATCAAAATCTTGGTGGATGGTAACCACGTACCGACGGCAGATTCCTTGCAAGCGCTAGCTTCGTTCATAAACCAGCTGCACCCTCGCCTCCAGAAGCTCGTCATCCGGTCCTCGAAGATGTTGGACGTTTCCGCGTTACTGCTTTCTCTGGCAAAGTTTGAACACCTCACATTGCTCGAACTTGACAACACCGCCGCTCCACTCCGAGTATCATTAGATATCGATCCCTCGATTCAATTTATGAACAAGAATACTGCCACCATTCGTGATCTAACACTCGCCTCACCACTCACAAGTTCACTAAACTTTCAATATCTCTGTCTTCGAAACCTCACATCTCTTCTCCTCGACGCTTCATTTCTCTCTTCATTTCATTTCATGTCTTTGGCTGTGTTCTTCAAAAACGTGAGCCATACTCTGAAATCCTTGACAATCCTTGGTTCCTTGGATCAAGCCCAGTTCGGATGGTTGTTGTCCACCATAGAGGCTACCGATCTAGGACCTGCAAATGGCCTAAGGGCATTGTCGATAGGGATCGCCAGACTGACGAGGGACATTGTAGTCTCAATCTCAAACAACCTTCCGCATCTTGATAGTCTTACCCTACGGATTCACCACGTTGACGACCCGAGCACATACCCTCTCATTCCAGGAGACGGGTTCCCGGTGCGTATGACACTACCTCGTCACCTTTTGAACATCTTTTACCTTCCAGTTTTCAAGGAACCAACCGAGGAACATCCGTTCGTAGTTCGGCTGCGTGAAGTTTCGTTTGACCAATGGAAGCTCCGCGATATCACCATCAAGCGCAGCTCCTGCTGCGGCGTGCTCTTTTTGTGGGGCTTAATGAAGCTGTTCGCGGAGTGCATTCCAGGCGTGAAGAGTTTTTCCGGAAATGGAGATATGACGATACCTAACCCACCGAACTTTCAAAGACCAACAAAGGCCATCAGCACTTGTCGTGACATCATTTGTTCTTATGGGAATGCTGGCATGGTGACTTCTAGGGAATTTCCTCTGAGAAATAGCTTGTTGTACAGACCATAACTTGTGTTAGGTTGCTTACAATCTAACAGAGAAATATTGCCGTCGAAACCTGGTATATGGTTGTCATGATCACGGTCGTTCAGCCTTTATAAGGCTTGCATAAGTTATAGGTCGACGGTGACCAGAGTTTTTAGTGTGGTTGAGGTTCATGTAAGTCGGTGGACACAAAAAATGAATGGCCATTCCACGGGTCATGAGTTATCGCCGATTATCACAGACATGGGTTATGAGTCATATATACATACATCCAATAAAAGACTAAAGTCATCAAGAAACGCCAACATCTGCACCAGAATTTCCATTCCGAACCATCTCCCTCCTCACCTCACTCGACCACTTGAAGAAATCGCACTTCCAATGTGGATCCACATGCTCTCTCAGCCTTTCCCCGCGACCTTTATCATATCCTGGTCCAACGGGCCTGCAAATCAGTAATCAGCGACACGAAAGCAAGAAGAAGAAATATACTTACCTGGCACAGATGAAAAACCGCTTCCCCTTATTAGCCCCCTGCTTCGTCACGGTGAGCTCTTTCGCTAGTTCACCGTGAACAATACATTTCGGCGGTTGGATGGGAGCAAGGAGGTTCGTCCACTCGGCTGTGCCCTTGCCCCCATGGCTTTTGCTGTTCTTGGATTGAGATTTGGAAGGCACAAGGGGTTCGTTTAGCTGAGAGAGCTGAAGAGCGAATTGATAATCTTCTTCAAGGTCCACATCGCCCTCCGGGGCTCTCTGCTTTCCTTTCGCTTTGATACTTGAACTAGCTGGGGGCAACGAATCTTTTGGCTTTCTCATCGGCTTTGCAAAAAAACTGGCGATGGACTGTTGACTTGGTTTCTTCTCCTCTTCTTCCCTCTGTTTTCGCTTCTTCGACGTCGACCGGATATCAGCTACGAGTTTTCTTTTCGTGGATATGGGTACTGGCGGTGGTGATGAGGAAGGTGGTCGGGGCTGAGAGGAAGAAGGTTGTTGGAGTGGGGATGAGGGCACTGGACTTGATTTCGTAGTGGAGGAACCGCTGGTTGAGGTTTGAGTGGTTGGAATGGGTGTGGAAGATGGTGTTATCGTCGCCGAATTATTGTCGTCAACAATGATTGGACTGGGGCTTGGGACTAAAGCGGGACACGGAGTATCACTGCTCCCACTCCCCTTAGATTTTTGCCCAAAAAACTTATGAAGCTGGGTCTGCTTCCCCGAATACTCATCCCAAAACCTAGCAGCCAACCGCGGAGGATCCTTCCTCCCATCATCTTGCAAGCCCATCGCACGCCGTAGCTCAACCACAGCCCCGGTCGTAGGGTCAGTGATCTCATCGAATAGGTCGACGTAAACCGGACAATGGTCGCTTCCTTTGATCAGAGGTTGGATATCCGCAGCTTTGACCCATGGAAGCAACCCGCGTGTAATAAGGATATAATCGATACGTGTACCATAGTTTGAATCGCGCGCAGAGATCTTCGTGTTCCAGCCTAGGATCTGACAAGTCAGCCCAATATCCAAGAGCGCAACATAAAAAACAGCACAAACAGGTATACATCCCCTTCCGTTCAGGCCACAACTTCCTGACAATATCGATCATGAAACCGCCAGGCATCCCCTCGTCCTCGGGAACCAAAAACCCCCTCATCCACCTCCTCGAATCCTTTCCCCAAAATCCCTCCTCACCCTGCAACCCCTCTGCAAGGCCCTTCGCAACCATCAAGTGACCTTCACAGTGGTCGATGATAGCCGCACACGCATTCAAATCCCCCACGACCATCACCTCCCTGCCCTCCTTTATTAGCCCCACCACCCGCATTTCAAGGAGCCGGTGGAAATCCATTTTGTACTTGTCTCGTTCCTCTGTACCGTTCCCGTCATTTGGGCAATACACATTGATGAGCACGAATAAACCAAGGTCGAGTATGACTGTTCGGCCTTCGCTGTCTAAATCGGCGTAGTCAAGATCCCCCTCTATAGACGCGGTTTCAGCGTTAGGTGGGTAATTGTCCGAATCCGATATGCGTTCAGCTGCGGTTAGCGGCGGCTTAGGCTGCAAAACCCCACTAAGGCCTTCTTCGGCTTTGAGAGGGATGACAGCACTGTGGCGCGTATAGGTAGCTACTCCGGAGTAGCCTGACTTTCTTATGGGAAAGGAGAAGAAGGAGTCATAGGATGGTGGGACGGCCACTTGTTTTGGTAGGGCGGGGCGTGATGATTTCATCTCTAAGTTGGGTTTAGCAGCGAACGTTCTTGAATAAGTGAGGGAAGTCACCTTGAAAGCAGATTATGTCTGCCTCTAGGTGGTTTAGAATGTCGTCGTGCGCTTTGAGGGTGTTCCATCTGGATGATACGCGGTAAACAGGCGAAGGGTTTGGGCATTTTGGTTAAGCTCACGGGTGGTATTGAGGGAGTGTACGGACTCCGTTCTGTTTTCAAAATTCAACGGTGGACTCATGGACAGAAAATGATAGTTACAATGTTCCATGTCAAGATCCGCATGCTGCATTGTCGTCGGTGAGAACAACGACAAGAAATGTAAGTATTTCAGCCTTTGATTTGCGTATCTATGCTTCGTAAAGCAGCCCTATTGACATTCTATCAATACAAGGGCAGAACCAGCACGAATATACCGACCTGAGTGACGCCAACCGCGTCGTCTGCGACGTGGTCGTGGTGGGAGTGGAACAAATCTGTGTAATAAGATGCCGTAACTTTGACACAACATTGCCAATCTCCTTTCTTTTTACCGTGACTGCAACATCCTCCAATGGCCTCTGCCCCTGCGCGACGCCGGAGCATATTCCGCCCATGCATTGATCTGCACGACGGACAAGTCAAGCAAATCGTAGGGGGAACGCTCTCCGACACCGCTCCTGAAACTTTGAAAACTAATTTCGTTGCAAAGTCTGTTCTCTTCCAGCTCTCAGACCGCACAAAAACTAAGGATGGCACAGACAATCTGCGGGCGACTTCGCCCGGATGTATAAAGATTGCGGACTGGAAGGGGGACATATAATCAAGCTGGGAGGGGGAAACGATGCGGCTGCGAAAGAGGCGTTGCAAGTTTGGCCGGGCACATTTCAGATCGGGGGCGGGATAGATGACGAGAATGGGAAAGAGTGGTTGGATGCCGGTGCAGGGAAGGTAAGCATTCGTGAACATACCATGGGTTACTGCAGCTCAATGAAATCATGGACCAGGTCATCGTAACATCCTACCTCTTCCCTGGGGGGAAATTTTCTCTGGAAAGGCTACAAGCCATCGCTTCCGTTGTTGGGAAGGAGAGGTTGGTCGTTGACGTGAGGTACCTTTCCAGTTTTCTCATTCGACTTTTTGCTAATTGAAGATACACAGCTGCCGGAGACGAGATGACAAGTGGCTGGTAGCCATGAACAAATGGCAGGTTATCACCGACATGGAGGTGTCGCAAGGTTGTCTTCCGCCGCACCCACCAGGTGAAGGTGAAGGTTGATTATATATGCAGGGACACTTGATATGCTGTCGGAGTACTGCAGGTTAGTGTTGTCGATGATGCTATGGAAACTTCATGCTCATTAACACTGTTAGTGAATTCTTAGTGCACGCGGCTGACGTTGAGGGACTATGTCAAGGTATCGATGAAGATCTCGTGCGGAGTACGTCTGCCATTCCACCTCTCAGGCTCATTATTGACAAGCTGTTTTGCAGAACTAGGGGAGTGGGTGAAGATACCTACTACGTACGCCGGCGGCGCCAGAGGTATTTGAGCAAAAGTTGACTGTACGGCATCTTCTAATACAGTCTCAAGATATTTCAGATCTTGACCTTGTTGATCGTCTTTCCGAAGGACGCGTAGATCTAACATATGGAAGGTGAGTTTTCAACGCCTCTCCTTCCTATCTTTTGCTGACGAATGTTTTTCCAGCTCCTTGGACATATTTGGCGGCTCACAAGTTTCATTCGAAGAGTTGGTCCAGAAAAGTCGGAAGAATTCGGCTTTCGTAAAAGCATCACAATGAATGTCCCACCGGTAATACATAGTACTCATTCCTTGGATCCAGAAGCTCCATTTGAGTTCCACAGTCACAGCAATCCCTTGATACATCTGAGCTGCTGAAGTTAGCAAAGGCGTATCAGGTCCTTCGCAAGTCGTGCTAATCTCTATCTGTACGCAGAGAGCTCAACTCGGAGGTAGCGTCGTTGTGACAAGCTCCTCGCGAAGGGATTACTACTAAGTTTGGAAAGCTTTCAAAATTTACACCACTAGACTCGAGGATTGCTCCTCCCCGCAATTTTGGGCATATCAAACATTGGATGCTTCGAACCTATCGCGCAGGGCCCGGCCGTCCCACTTTTCGTTGAATTCTTCTAAGGCCGTGGATCAAAACTTTGATCGGCTTTTTTGCGTTGGATGTTCTGGGCTTCGAATGCCGAGGAAGCCAGTTGCATCAAATAACCCCTCTTTTCTGCCTCGTCGGTTTGCCCCCAACCCGCGCTCTACAAAATGCGGACCTTCAACAACCTTGTTCTGGCTGTATCGTGGGCCACCGCTTCACTTGGTGCTCTGTACACCGAACCCAGCCAACTGCCGCACCTCACGTACGACTACGTAATCGTTGGTGGTGAGTCCCTCGATGTTGGTCGAACTTCAGAGACTTGATAATGATTCCACGTACAGCTGGTACCGCCGGCAATGTTATTGCGAGCCGACTTTCGGAGAATTCACTGTATTCTATCCTTGTTCTTGAAGCAGGCATCAGGTGCACAGGCTTCTCCCCTTTGTCGGGTTATCCCTTGAGCTCTTGCCTTTAGCGCTGAGGACGATCTCGCTACCATTGTGCCCCTTTTGATACCTACCCTCCCGCCTAGTACGTGTTAGCAAAGTGTATCCTCTTCAAAATCATTGACGATATATTGATCATAGATTCACCACATGACTGGAATTACACCATAACACCTCAAAGCGGACTCGATGGACGGGCATTCCCTTACAGACGAGGGAGATTACTAGGAGGATCTAGCACCATCAGTGAGTCATGTGGGTAAAATGCTCTACACGTTGGTAATCATCATTTCTGTCATAGACTTCATGATCCACCAATACGGCTCGTCGGAAGACTTCGACAAGATCGCAGAGATCACAAATGACGTTGGTTGGAAATGGGACAGCCTCAAACAACACATTGAAAAGGTTCTGCCATTTGACCCTCTCCTTCTGCCGGTGCTAGTTTAACTTCGAATTTAGCATGAAAAAATAGTTCCGCCCGCAGATGGTCACAATACATCAAGCCAATATGTTCCTGCTATTCACAGTACAAACGGGATTATGCCTGTGAGCCTGGCAGGAAGATCCCAGTCGATTGATGCGCGGGTCATCGCTACCACGAAAGAAATGCCACATGATTTTCCTTTCAACAAAGACATGGGTGGAGGAGACGTTTTAGGCCTCGGTTGGATCCAGTCTTCCATTGGTGGTGGGAAACGAAGCAGCTCTGCCACTTCATATCTCGCTGCCGCGATCAATCGACCAAACGTTCATGTCCTCATCAACGCACAAGTAACTAAGCTTCTACATACCGGCTCTCTGTCAGCAGTGCCTTCTTTTCGCGCTGTGCAGTTTGCACGGAAACCTGGTGGTAGGTCAACGCTCAACGTCAATGCAACCCTTCTCTTTTCTGACCCACTGTAAACAGCGCCCCAGACCGTCGTGAAGGCGAGGAAGGAAATCATCCTATCAGCTGGCTCTATTGGCACACCCCAAATTCTATTACTTTCTGGCATTGGTCCAAAGGCTGAGCTCCAAGCGCTGAACATTCCGGTCGTCGTAGATAACCCATCTGTCGGACAGAACCTATCTGACCACATCTGGGTGCCCAACAATTACAAAGTAAGGGATGAGGACAGTCTTGATGACTTCTTTCGGGACCCTCTTCGCTTTTCCTCTGCTATGAAGGAATGGCATGCGAGAAAGACGGGCATTTTTGCTGGTGGCATTACGAATAATTTGGGTTTCTTCAGGCTCCCTTCAAACGCTAGTATATTCTCGACCACCCGTGACCCAGCATCTGGTCTCAACTCTGCTCATTGGGAGATGGTCGTTGCTGTACGATCATGTTCATCAGTTTGCTTTGAATGCGATTAACGCCGTGACGCTGATGCAGAACTTTTATCTCAATTATAAGCCTGGTGTTGTCGAACCGGTCAACGGAAGTTACATGACCATTCAGTCGGCTCTGATCTCCTCGACGTCACGTCCGTTTCCCTTTCATACTAGCCATCAACTTCATGTGCTGAACCACCCTTTTGCTTTTTTGCAGGCGGGGCAGTAAAACTAATTTCAGCCGACCCCTTTGCCCATCCGCTCATCAATCCCAACTACCTCACGACCCCGTTTGACATCTTCACAATGCGAGAAGCTGTTAAAGCAACCAAACGCTTTGTCAGCGCCGACGCCTGGAGAGACTATATCGAATCTCCTGTTGGTGGCGTTGTTGGCACGGAGGATGCAGACATTGATGCTTACGTTCGCGATCAAGCGTTATCGATGCTTCATGCAACGGGTACTGCAAGCATCTCTCCCAAAGGTGCTAGCTGGGGCGTTGTAGAACCAGATTTGAAGGTGAAGGGTGTTGACGGGGTTCGTATCGTCGATGCTTCGATTTTGGTGGGTTTTTTGTTCTTACAGTAACACAGTATGTTGATATCCTCTTATAGCCTTTCCCGCCAAGTGCTCACACTCAAGGCCCAGTTTATCTGATAGCGGAAAGGGCTTCACAGCTCATTGTGGGCGAGAATCTGCAAGCAGAGTTGGACTTTCACTTCAGAACAGATTGGGTGGTCGAACTTCAAGCATTCCTCTCATCGTCTGCGGCAAGAATGTATCGGTTTTGCCAGGACATCCCCATCATGTCGAATTAACTTTGTAGATATCCTGTGGTAGTATTTTCTTGGGATAGTGGTGGATGGTGGAGATTCCTGAGCCTACCTCCATTTAAAATGATCTAACATTGCCTCAGGTACTCTTTCAGTCTGGGAGATGTTTTGGGGAAGCTGAGATTCAGTTAAATACTAAACATCGAGATATGTTAGATCAATGGAGCCGTAATTGACTGACACCGCTTTTAACCTCGGACAGAGTGACATGATCTTCTTCAACAAATCTTTACACCCCTTCAAGTCAATCTGTTGCGCCGAGAATGGTTGCTCCCCAAAATTAACTTTCTCTAAGCTTGAGAAAAGAGCCAAAAATTGAGGGAGTAGCTGCACAATGGGATCTTTCCCATCATTCAACGTCATCCAAAACTTTGTGTGAAGAGTGAGATCCTCAACCATCGTGAAATTTGTTATGAATCTGCTGACAGAGCCTTGAACAGCGACAGTCGTGGAATTCGAAATGTGTTTTTGTATCCACTCGTGCACCCCTGTCTTGGAAGAGAAGTTGAGGCCGAGGCGCGGGGTATTCGTGTAAGAGTGGCTGAGTGCAATGGCTGAGAGCGCTTCGTCGAATTGGTCGTAATCAAAGTCGCCAGACTCTGCTAACAGTGTCACAGCTGCGGGCGGTTGAAACGGGACTTTGGGGCAAAGGATCCACGCTATGAATTTCGGATGTGCATTTAAGATCTGCAGCTGAGGAAGAATAGGTTTTCGAAGTTGAGGCGTTTTATCAGGAATAAAAACTCCAGAGAGAGTCAGCGAAGCAATTGAGGGGTTGCATCGGAGGAACGTTTCTATATCTTCGAGGGCCACGCCCTTTCCGTCAGCTAAGTGATCACCAGAATTCCATTCGAAGCTATACAGCGCTGGTAAGGTGAGGGTGGGAAGGAGTTGATGCCAGGTGGCGGAGCTGACGACGACTTTGTTGAATGCCAGTTGCGTCATGGCCCCAGCATTGGCTTGGAGAGTAGATTGGAACCAACGAAGCAACTGGGGGTGGAGGAGCATCGAAGACATAATGTAAAATGAGGCACATTGGGGGGCAGGTGGAGGACAGGGGGGTAAAGGTTGATTCTTGGTTTTCGAAAAAATTGACAACATCTTCCAACGTGCCGTGTTTGATGAAATCTTCCAGGATTTCGGAGGAGACAGCTCCCGCAAATTCGGCTCTTCCGAAGAAAGCGAAAAGAGGGTGTCACTTCCATCTATACAGAGGTCCTTGCATGACTTCTGGAGTGCTGCGTCCACGAGAGCGGAAAACTCCGTGCTCCACTTCTGCATATCAAGTTTAGCATCGTTAGGAGTAGACGATGGGTAGTGTGCCCAAGTAAAGGTGTGCAGCGAGGGAAAGCGCGCAAGCAACCTCCGCAACGCGCGGATATCGTAGAAAAGCCTGTCCGCGTCGTTGGTGATGCAACGATACTGAATATTTCGCAAATTTGTGGCCAGCAGAGATGTCCCGAGGGCAATTAAACCCTCCTTGGAAGGGCACGACATCGAAACGTATTCAGGAAATTGCGTCCTGATGTCAATGCTATTTCGTGACAGAAAGAGAGGCAGAGCGAAGAAATGGAGGGTCTTGCACGTCTTCGCAAGGGCGTAGATCGACTCCGTGTCGAGTGGATTTATGATCTGGGTGAGCAGCTCGTGCGGAAGGTCAGTAAAGATGGCCAGGTTCGATGGCAACATTGCTTCTTCTATGCTTGGCTTGGGGGATGTCAAAGACTCAAAGTGGTGTTTAAATAGTAAACTTCAATGAGGGGCTGAAGAGGGCGGTGTCAAGCGATGCTGTACTTCAGTGCCTGGGTCTGGGCCATGCATTGCGTGACCAGCCACAAACATAAGACCGCTCTTGAATTGATCGTGGTAGTGGGACGTCATTGGACGTCGACGTCGACGTCCTTGTTGAGAACAGTGACTTGACAGCGACAAGAAACGTATCTTGGCATGATCAAGTCGCATATCCAGGCTACACATAGCAATCCTATTTCTATTCTATCAATATTACAAGAGCAGAAGTTACGAGAATATACCCACCTTTAGCGACGACGACCCCAAGTTGCGTACTTGCAGGATGCTTGCAGCAGGTGACAATCAAGTGACAATTTATCTCAATTTATTTTGATGGCTTTGCTATTCCTCTTCTTCGCCACCACCATCTTCTCCAATAGGGCCCTTGCCAAACCTCCCCCAATGCCGTAGCATATTCCGCTTATGCGTTGACCTGAACGGTAGATAGAGCAAATACTCGGCACTCTCTGATGGCATCGCTCCTGAAACTTTGAATACGAATTTCGTCGCAGTCCGTTTTTACCACCCTTCAGCGGATGACCCAAAGAACTAAAAATGGCGCAGACAATCCTCTCCGAACGAAAGATAAGAATGCGAAGGAGTGGCTGGATGTTGGGGATGGCAAGGTATGTTGCTTCGGCGGCCGCGCGAGTGAATCGGAGTTGACTGAATCTTGAAGATTTTCGTTGCATCGTATCTCTTCCCCGGGGCGGACTTCTCGTTGGAAACCTACAAGCCATGTTTCTATGGTTGGGAAGGAGAGGCTCGTCGTTGATGTGAGGTCCTCTCTAGTTGTCTCTCTTGATTTCTTGCCAATCGAAGAAAGACAGCTGCTGGAGGCGAGGTGACAACTCGTGGCTGGTAGTAACTATGAACAAATTTTAGAACATCACCGACATGGAAATGTCCCAAGGCAGTCTTCCGCCGCACTCATCAGGCGAACATGAAGGTTGATACAATGTTCAGAGACATTTGGTGTGCTGCCGGAGTACTGCAGGTTAGCGTTCTTGGTGGGTCTGTTTTACTGACCTTGTTAATGAATCTTTAGTGCACGCCGTCGAGGTTGTGGGACTACGATGAAGATTTCGTGCGGTATAGGTCGCTCACCCCTCTTAGGCCTATCTTGGGCGAAGATACTCAATACGTACGCTGGTAGTGCCGAAGGTACTCGAGCAGCAACCGATCTTATAGCACCCTCTATAAAATCATGCAACTATATCTTAGTCTTGATCTTGATCGTCTTTCTGGAGGGCGCGTTGATCTGAGGTATGGGAGGTAAGTTTTCAACGCCTCTCCATATCGTCGTATCTGACTTGAGGGATCTCTGCTTAAGCTCTTTGGGTGGCATGTTTGGCGCTTTGCTTATTTTATTTGAAGAATTGGCCTGGAAGAATCAAAACAACTTGGCTTTCGTAAAGGCATTCCCAAAAAACTCTTTCACACTACGCATCCTTCTTTTCGTCCGACCAGCGACAGAACGCAAACTTGACGATACATTTTTCAAAGGATACATGCGTTCCCAAGCAAGTCCTCGCCACGCAACTTCTCTTACTATCGTTGCTCCCATCATGCTCGTAACAATCCTGCGTTCATTTTCTTTCGCAATGACTCTCGTCCTTCTACCTGCTTCTTTTGAAGCTTCGCAGCCCGGTGCAACGTACGAAGTTCGCACTGCTCTAGAACCTCCGTCACCTCTCTCCACCCCTGCCGTCGTCTTGCTTCGGTCTCGGCGTTTGAAATGTCCCTGCAACGGGGACTCTATTCACCGCACATCCCGACAATTGAGGGTCACCTCACCATACAGGACATCTACCCATTGTCCAAGGCTCATGACGACTTTTGTTGACTATCAGAATGGGGTATATTTCGAGCTCGCTGCCGAGCAGATAGAGATCGGTCTGGGCCACTCTAAACCAGGTCATGCAGTGCTGGACATACAGTACTTACGTATACATGACTCGAATTCTCAAGATTGCTATAAATAACATGGTCATCGCACCCAGGAGTGTCAATCACCCCCAGAACAGTTCCCTAATGGTCCGTCGCTCATAGTATTTTTCTGCGTACGAACAACAACTGACGACGGGCTGCTCATTTTACGTAGCTGGCACCTCTACTTCCGCCAGAGCTCCTCGACATCGTGATGGGCTGTCTCCTCGACGATGACAACTCACTCAAATCAGCCTCACTAGTCTGCCGCTTTTTCGTAGCTCCAAGCCAATCCCGCTTGTTCTCCATCATATCCCTCAGACCTCCCCCCCACAAAAAACGACATCTTTCAGGATGCCGTATGTTCGGTGCACATATCCCCACAAACTCGAAAGAGGGGTTCAAATCTTCCATTGAGGCATTTAGCCGAGTAATTGCAGCCTCACCCCACCTGCTTGGCTACGTACGCTGCCTTCACCTTCATGGCTCCCCTTACCCTCTTGTGCCCCGGCTCCCGCCCAATCACACGGACTGGCTCAATTCGCAATCACCTCATCTCATGACCTTTCTTCCGCGCATTGCTCCGAGGTTGAAGGGTTTTGGGATGCACCTGGTAGACTGTAAGACACTCTTACCGGATGTTATGGAGGCGATCGCAGGTGTCTTTGAATCCGGACTTTTGACAAGCATTACCCTCATCGACACAACCAACCTTCCAGTTTCAGTGCTTGCTTCCTGTGAACGGTTACAGCACCTCAACCTCCAGGTCGAAGGTTGTTGGGCTAGTGCAGCTCTTGCTGCTTGTCGCGTGTCCAAACGTTGCCAGTCAAAGAGACCCCTCATCTCACTAAAATTACGTAATTCCAGAAGTGAATGGTTCTCAAGAGACGATTGCATTTTTGACATTTCCCGTCTGCGTTTTCTGGATCTTTTTGGACAGCTGGATTTCGCAAGAGTTTGTGAGATATGTTCCGGTTCTTTGAGAGTCCTCCACATGGAGGGTGAGTCCGTTAAGTTTCACTCATGTTGTTCTATCATTGATCTCTGATTTTCATAGCCAAGTACCTGCCGGATGTTTTCGTCGCCTCGAATGATATAAACAGCTTCATCGTATTGGAAAAGGCCTATTTTCATCTTTCTGCGGGCGCTAGCACTCAGGCTCCCATCTCTAGTGAGCCAAGAAAGAATTTGTCGCGCATAAACGATCTTCTGCGTCACTCTCACATGCCGGCTCTTAAGCAGATAATCCTCGACTGTGCCTTTACGTATAAATCCACTTTGGACTTATTAGTCCTTTTCTCCGAAATGGACTCTATCCTTGCTGACGGAACTCAGGAGAACCTGCCGGCTCTGCAATCTGTCACTATTCTCGTGGACTGCAATCAACGGTACAAGTACAAGGTTATAGGAATGATCATGAAGCGAATGCGCCTGCTCCGCAAGATGGGCATTGTGAGGGTTATTAGGGGCGAAGACAGGCAGCTTCTATGAGTGGGGTTGGAAGTTTGGTCCAGTCTCAAGTTTGCCCCGGGAAGTGTCTGCGTTCCGGTGATACTTCGTGCGTTCTGAGGGTGGCATATCTGAATGATAGTGGTCAGCGGATACGGACGGCATGGTGGGAATGTACGAACTGCAGACCCCACGCACAGAGGACGGGGACGAAGGCGGCGGGGTGAAGGCTGTGGGAGTTGTTGTACTCCGGGTACTTGTGAAGAGAATTGAGAGGAGGAGGAGCGTGGAGTAGGCGGTGAATCGGGCATTGGGGACTGATGCCGGATGTGAGGATGTGTACTTTCCATCGAACGGTGCGGACACTGTTGTAGCTGGCGACATTGAGACTGCTCTGAAGTATACCTCTACCTCTACTAATAATTGGGGCTCGAAGGGCCCGTGTATTTCTTGCCGGAACGGCTTGTGTACTATACTACGACATAATTACATGATAATGGACGGCTTACGCACAGGAAACCGTCTTTGACTCCTTGTCCATAGAGTCACGCTCGCACAGCGAAGACTCGGCGGTGGACTTTGCACTGGACAATAAATTTCGATTGAACCTGAAGATGCCCAGTGCCCGTGGCAGAAGGTTTTTAAGGGAGGCATTGCGCTCAGCCTTCCGCTGAGCTTTAGCTTCAGCTTGCCTGTTCATCTCCTCACACATCCGAGCCCAGGCTTTCTCTCCTTCCCTTGCATAGAACATATCCCTGGAATTATAGAAATGTTCAAAACCTAGAATGTAATATTGGTTAGATTGTTGGATAAGTAAGAGACTGACGACTGACTTATGAGAGTGAGAAATGGGTATTTCCCGCCTGGTTCGTTTGTGAGGAAACGTATGACCTCGCTTATTGGGAGCTCGGTCCCGTTGTTGGTGGTCCCTCCATGCAGGCAATCGCCATCGTGAATGTGTGGTGGGAGTGGATGAAAGCCCCCACCTATTGGGAGCTCGGTCTCGTTGCTGGTGGTCCCTGCACGCAGGCGATCGCCATCAAGAATCTGTGGTGAGGAGAGGGTGGTTTTAAACTTGAATTAGATTGCGACAATGTGCAAGATACCTTCCATTCAAAGGAGGGAACGAAAGGGTGTGGAAGGTGCAGCCATGAGAGGGATGTAGAGATCTTGTGTTTTGTGTAGAAATAGTATTTTATCCCATCGTCAGCAAATGGATCCTCTGTCGCCCTTAACATCACTCTGTTTCAAAGACAGGGAGGGGTGAATTTGTCGTTGTAGGATTGAAATATTCAAAGCCTCACGTTATCGTCTCAGTGGGATGAATTATCTTGCTCTGGGCCGGCGCGTCCACCTCAGGCGTGGGGTCGAGCTCGTCCATGAGTTGATAATCCGGCGTAAGCCAACCAGCGATGTAATATCGGGCAGGGTTACTCCGCATTGCATCCACCTGTCGGTCAAAATACGCACAATGGTAATCCAAAACCCTTGACCATTCATATTCGTCAACAAGAAATTGGAGGTATTCGAAGTACACGAGGGCGCCCTTGATAATGTGCTGCGAAAAGCTGCCGAGGTACTCGCACAAGATCGCAAAGTAGACTTCGAGGGGGATAAGAACGGAGCTAGGTGTCTTGTATAAAGAGGCCTCTTCAGAGACATCTGGGTCTGGAGGGCACAGTTTGTAGAGGTGGCGTGCTGGGAACCGGTGAGTGATTATGGACACAACCAGGCTTTCCGAGTTCTTGATCTTGGAGAGCACTAACTGCAGGTCGGCTCGTGGTAGTTCCGGTGTCATGGTTGACTTGAATGCAAGTGGCATGTTTCAGATTTGTGGTTGTGGCAGCCCTCGTTCCAGCAATTGATCATCTGAGTCTTCAACTTTCTCCTTGCGAGTTTCGTCTTAGATATCCGCCAACGCAATATCGTCCACAAATTATGCATAAAGAATGTACTCCTCGTCGTCAAGGCCGAGGCGTGAAGCTTGAAGACTGCAGTGAGCTTTCGTGTTGCCATCTTGACGCTGGCAGCCTCGATGGGTGGTCGTTTGGTCTTTGCCGCTGTTGCTGTTGGAAACGATGTGAGGAGCCTTTCAATTGATTTTCTCCTACTGTGCGGTACGCATCAGAGAAACGAAAGTCTCCATAGCTCAGTGGTAGAGCATGCGATTGCAGTAATCTGTAGGTATATGATCCATCGCAGGGTCAGGTGTTCAAACCACCTTGGGGACTTACAAAGTACACATATTGACATGGTTTTTTGTAAGCTTACATCTCGGGGTGGTGAATCTCAATTGAATCGACAGGGCCTGCACTGACAATTTACATGCGTAACCAAATCTTTTGCACAACGTATGTACTCCATGACCCCCCTTCAAAAGTCACGAAAAAGATCCCATCTAAAGAGAGTCCAATCATTTCGCGTACGCATTTTGGTGCAAAAGAACTTCTATATAATCCAGACGACGAAAAAAATGCATGTAAGTAGAGTAAAAGAAAGCGGGCCGAACGTCGATTCAATCGAAAGCAAATGAGTCAAAGCAGCAGGGGAGGGGAGGGGGAGGGGGGTAAGGTATCATTCATCAGCTTCATTCCAATATCCATTTCTTCTTTTTCCTCCCAACCAACCAGTCAACCCCAAACCCCAAACACCGCTCACTGCATCCTCCCCAAAACCCTAGGCTGCGAAACCTCCGCCATATTAATGAAGATATCATCCGCAGGATGACGATACAGCGGCGCGCGGAGCCTCTTCTGATCAAGATGATGACCAATGAACCCAATGCTCCTTCCAAGGACGAACAGCCCGTTCAGCGTCCCAATCTTGATGTACTCGTCCGCCTCTTCGGGGGTGAAAGCGCCGCTGTCCCGGAGGAGATCGACAAAGCTTACGGCGATGCAGCCGTCGACGTTTAGGATGAGCTGCGTGTGGTTGACAAACGTCAGTGAAGTGACGAAGGCAGGAGGACAAGACAAGACGCACAGTATCCTTCTTGGCCGTAGTAACCTTCTCAACAGCAAGCGCATAATCAAGGAGAGTATGGCTAGGGAAGTTCTTGTGTACATACTCCTTCACCAACTCGACACGAAGATCAGGGTTATTCACACTCTTGATCTTGTGTCCAATACCGCTAACTATCAAATACCATCAGCCAAACCCCCACACAACCTCAAAGAAACTCACTGAGTTTATTCGCCTTGCGCGAATTATCAACAAACTCCCTAGGCGTCAACCCCGTATCCCTCGCATTCGAAAACATCGAAGCAGCCTCATCAAGCGCACCTCCAAAGCGACTTCCGATGGTCAAGAGCCCAGAGGCCAAAGACGAGATAAGGTCCTTGCCCGCGCGAGAAGCGACGATGGTGTTCATGGCGCCAGAAACGGCAGGGCCGTGGTCGGCTGTGAGCATGAGCACCATTTCGATGAATTTGGTGGCCCAGGGTGGGAGACCTGTTGGGGTGAGGCGTTAGTTAGATCAGTAACGAGAAGAGACAGAAAAAGAAGTGATAGAGCGAAAGAAAGAAGGGAGGAAGAAGGAAGGGGAGGAAGGGTGAGGAAGGCAAGGAACGAAGTAATGGAGCGAAAGGAGGGAACGAGGGAGGAAGGGAACAGACGAGGGAACAAGGAGAAAGAGAGAGAATGAATCGTATGAGGGAAAAGCAGAAAAGGGAAAGGAAGGAAGAAAACGACGAGCAACAAAAAAAAGAAAAAGAATCAAAAAACCACAACTCACGTCTCTTAAACCACAAAAGACTAACAACACCCCCCAACCCAATATCCTCCTTGAACACATCCGATATCCTCATCCCAGCATACAACAACTCCTGCCCCCTCTCATCCGAAATAGTCGATATGAACGCCGCAGGCTTCCTTATCAAACCCAACTCCTGCGCCCATTTATAATCCATAGGAATAACAGGCGGCTCAACTTCCCCACTAGGCTTTATCGTACCACTCCTCACCAACCCTTCATAGGTTTCTTTAAGTACGGTAGGCAGCTGTTCGAACGTTTCGGGGACAACGAATCCAGCAGCGCGCATAGCCCTATTCTTCGCGTCAGCCGTCTCAAGCTCACTATTCGCCATGCTCCCCGCGTGCCCGAACTGGACTTCGGTAGTGAACATCTTCGCACAGGTCCCAATAGCCCACGCCACGATCGGTTTCTTGATGATTCCAGCTTTAACGGCGTCAATGACGCGGTATTCTTCGATACCCCCAACTTCGCCTAGGAGAACGAGCATCTTGCAGTCGGGGTCTTGTTCGTATCGGAGGAGGTGGTCAATGAATGTAGAACCGGGGTATCGGTCGCCGCCGATGGCGATACCCTCGTAGGTACCGTTGGTGACCAGCGAAAGGATATTATTCAATTCATTCGACATGCCTCCAGATTTAGACACGTATCCCACCGAACCGGCGCGGTAAAGCTTGGACGCAATGATATTATCCATCATCCTATTCCCCATACATCAGCCCAACTCAACCCAATCAACCAAAAAAAAAAAAAAAGAACGAAACTCACCCTCCCGAATTCCCAATCCTAAAACACCCAGGCTTAATCCCACCAACAGTCGCAGGGCCAACAATCAACACCCCCCTCCCCTTCGCCTTCCAAAGTATCTCACGCGCATGCCGCTCCGGAACACCCTCCGCAATCAACGCAATAGCCTTGATCTGCTCAAACTCCAAACACTCCAACGTACTCGAATACACACTCCTCGAACTCGCAAAATTCACAACAACATCCACATCAGGGTGTTTCGCGATCGCCTCGGTGAACCCGGTGTATACAGGCAACAACGTCTCCTTTGTCCCCCAATAAAACTTTTGGATATGGTGGCCGCCAAAGGGGTAGATCATAGCTGCGACTGAGGGTGTCTGCCTCCCGCACGAGTAGTCAAAGTCCAGCATGCCTTGGATGGCACGTGGTTGGAGACCATACACGAACGAACGGGTGTTGGCGTCGAAAGGCCTGTACGAAGGCCGTGCGGTACTCGTGCTCTTCGTCTCGAAATGTACGATATGGTCCGCGATCTGCGTACGCTCGCCGTCAGGGTGGATAGACCCAACGGCATCGGTGCTGTCTGCGACGGGGGCAACCCGTGCAGGTGGTGTATCGGGCTGAACGGAATGAAGGCCATCAACGCCAACGTTGGAGGAAGTCTTGGACTTGTTGATGTCAATCCCCAAAGCGAGGGGCACGATCTCCGTGACGTGTGTGTCCGGCCCAAAGACGCGGATGGGGACGCCCAGGCTCTCGCCGAGCAGACGCATGGCCTTTAGACCTTCCTGGTAGTTCGGTCCACCACGACGAACAAATATCTTGACGGAGTGAGCGATCAGCTGACTCTTGTACTCTTTGAGGGCACGGATGATGCCTTTGAAGGTGGCAGCGACGTTGGTAAAGTTGGCAATACCACCACCGATGATGAGAATCTTGCCCTCTGGGTGAGGAGTCCCACGAGTGATGAGGTCGACTGGTGCGTATATGCGTCAATGCCAATTCTATCAAGGAAAATAAGCAACTCACTGATAGTCTTCGCGTATTCGTACGTCTGTCCCTCTGTAGGAGCACCAGAATACTCTCCGTAATTGGCAAGCTCGTGAGCGAACCCGTGGGCCGCGATGGCATCGGAATACACGACGCTGGCACCACCACCCGCCACCATAGTCCAGATGCGGCCTTCTGCGTTCAACACGGTAAGTTTGAGCGAAGCACCGGTCGAACCGTCCAGTTTCTGGATGTATGCTTCCTCTTTGGTGAGGTCACGACCGAAAGGAGCAGGCCAGACCTAGCGATAAAATCAGCTCGGTACAAAAAACCCAGTCGGATTGACGTACCATGGGAGGACCACGATCAGCAGAGACCTTTCCACCCGTCGTCGAGGTAGTCGCCGTCTGGTTATAAACCGACAAATCACGAGCAATAGCCCACTTGGGTCCACAAATGCTCTCGGCCGTCTGATCGAGCTTGGCCGCCATATCAAGGTACGCCACCTCTGGCTCTCCCCCATCCTTCGCGTCAAGGACAACGAGGGGATTGATCTCGAGGTACGCAAAGTGCAGATCAACGTAAACGCTATACAAGCGAATGAGGAAATCAACGAGGGTATCCTTTTTCTCTGCTGGGACGTGGGTTAGGAGGGTGGACGCGATGACGTCGCGTGTAGGGAACGGCTGGATGACGGGAAGGTTGAGAACGAGGGCTTTTGCGTCGACGTCGCCGATGTCTACGCCGCCTTCGTGGGTGAAGAGGATGGAGTCGCCTTCACGGCCTGATGTGATGCAGACGTAGTATTCGGTGTGGGAGGGGTGGGGAAGGAAAGGCTCTACGATAAAGTTGTTGAGGGTTCCTGTGATGGATTCGACCTATGTAAAAAAAACAATCAGCATTCAGGGTATAAGGCAGGCACGCGCGCCTCCCGTAAAACGCGAGGCATGTATGCGTGTCGATATGACAGATGGGCTGATTCTAGATGGGCACGAGACCTTACTTTTTGTGGTTTTCCGGCCCTCTGCGCGATCCATGGCTTCGCCTCGTCCCAGGTCTTGTTAAGAGCGAGCAAGCCCGCCTTTCCCCTGCGCTTGATGAGCTGATCAGGCTTTGCTACGAGTTTGGATGTGAAGACCCAAGAAGGGAGTTGCGTGTCGGGCGTGATGCTGTCCGTCGCGGGGTCCCATGCGATCTGAGCTACTTTGGCGGTGGGGTAGACGAATTTGGTTTTGACTTGGGCATGGGGCGCGATGGGAGGTGCACGCTCGAGCCAGTATGCGAGGAGGAGTTTGGCGTCGTATTCACGGATGGCTGTGGTGATGTGTTAGTGTGAGATCAAGAGCGGAGAAGAGAAGAGTACTACCTTTGGAGGACATGATGGGAGAGGGTGAAGAAGAGACGAGAACGATTATTAAAATATATAACCAGACGAAATCAGACCCTGGTCCGATTATCCCAAAACCTGGTCCGACCATAAATTATTTCCATCCCCTGCCCCCAAAGTTCACACGCGTTGATCACGTCGTACCATTTCAAATCACGCTCAAAGACGCGTTCCTTTTGTGATCTCTCTCCAAGACATCCACTCTTGTCTACGCGGCTACTCGTCCCCGTCCTAACCGACGCGTCCATTCACCGCGGAGGGTCACAAACGCCAGCATACCGACGCGTCCATTGACCGCGGAAGGTCAACTCATCCTACAAACTCCAGCATACACACAGTCCCTCCACGCAGCATACATCAACACCACAAAACACTGTCCCTCTGGACTCCCAGCAGTATACGGCTTCGTATCTCCCCAATCCAACGGATTAACCGTAGGCACAACCGTCCCATTCCCAGTAACATGTCCCCTCCCAATAACACCCCTAACACCCTCCGCCCACTTCACATACCTCCTCCCAAACACCCTCGGTAGGAGCACAGCAACCCGATACGCAACGCTAGCCAACAACGCCGTCCCAGAAACCTCTCCATACCCATGTCCGTCCTCATCACTCGCATCATCCAAATAATTCCTCAACAACCCCCCATCCATACCCATCCTCATCGCACCGTCCAAAATCTCCTTAATCCACGTACTCAAATCCTTTACAGCCTCTTCCCTCTCATACCGAGAAAACAACCCCGCGGGAGCCTTCATAACCGTTCCAAGAACCCTCGTCATCCCAGCAGCAGCCCACCCATTCCCCGTGGACCATATCCCCGGATCAGCAGTTTGCGGTCCTACAATATGCCGCCACAACCCCGCGTATTCCCCTTCCTTAACCACCAACACATCCCTATACAACCCACACTGCCTAACCGCCTCCCGAAGAACCGACGCATTCTTCGTGAAAGCGCCATAGAAAGCTAGGAACGGCGGTGCCATGTACACAAAATCCGCCCTACCGCCTCCCCTTATCAGTCCCCTTTCTACAGAAAAAGGGGGAACTCACCAAAGCTCAGGCACGTCCACCCTCTGCGAAACCGCCCCCTTCGCATTCCCCCACCTCGGCGCCTGTCCAAGTAAATAATCCACCTCACCCCTCGCAGCATCTCCATACACTCCCCCAAGTAAAACCGCAAAAACACCCAAACTAGCAGGATCACCCGTCGCTCCGTCTCCGTCGCTTAGCCCGTTTGCGCCTGTGCCGAGGACGATTTTGCTTTTTGCGTATTTGAGTGCCGGGACTGCATATTCAGGAGGGGAACCGTGAAAAGGCGCTGAACTGGAGAAAACGGATAGAGAAGGAGAGTAAAGTTCTAATAACGCCTCGGAAGCGGTGCCGAATTCCCAAGAGTGGGAGGGGAGGAGGGTGGCGAGTGTTAGGACAGAGGAGATGTTGAAGCCTGGTGAGAATGGGATGGGGTTTGACGAGGGGTGTGGGTGGTATGTGGACGCGGATGCACCTTGGTGGAAGAGGAGGGTGGTAAGTAGTAGGTATCGGTTCGACACCATCTGGATAGTAATAGGGATTGTTTTTGTGAAGACAGGAGGGAGGGGTTCGAGCTACTCCTTTTCGAATTTATAAGTACTTTCTGCCCATCCGGCTGCAGATTCCAGAAGTCCTTTCAACACAATACTGTAATGGGGATCGCGGGGAGAAGCTTCATGATCAAAGTAACCGTCAACGTTTCGTTCACAGACCTATATATGTTACTGTAGAAACCTGATATTTTGATGAAAAAGAAGAATTCGTACAGAAAAAAAAGGGTAAACCACGGTTGAACCGCAGTGCCCCTAAGTAGGGCCACGCCCATAAATCGGGCGTAAGACACTGATAGAATATTTTATATAATGAATCCATCACGAAGCTTGAAAACCAGATTCTTGATCCTAGGCCTGATTCCCTATCAATTTTTGGCGCTTTTGTATACTAAGTACTTACGATGAGCGGGAACAACTTGGAACCCCTCGGTCGACATCCTTCAAGTTGGTAGGCTGGTTATAGACCCAAAATGACTAGCAGGCATTTTCGTAACCCGTCCATCCATACAATTTCAGAACATCCCTGATATTTTGGCATTGGAGACTCGGAAGAATTTACAAATCACAAAAGCGGAAAAATGGCGGGGTCAAACGCCCTCTCCGTGTATCAAATATGAAAACCATCACGAATATTGAAGACAGTTTATTTATGTGAGTAAAGGCTCCACTTGATCGAGGTTGTGCTACGGAGGAGCGCAACACGATCGCAAACTTGAAGCCGCATCCGACCTAGTATCAACTTGAAGTACTTATCAAGAAAAAGAGATGATCAATAAATTCGGAAGCACCACTTCCTTGATATCATCATGAGATGGTTGCTGAGTGGATAATATCGGCAAGCTTAGGGTGGCGTAGACTCGAGCCAATCCCTTTGTGTAAATTATTGAAGACAGTCGTTTTGGCAATAGATCAGACAAAACTCATCAGCCACACAAACCTCAAATTGATGAATCAGTCCGGGATCCGAGTCTACTTAAAGCTGGCGAGTCATAATTTTTGCTACAAATGATTTAATACATGTACTCATTAATCTGCATCTTTTACCTGGTGACGAAAACCTGTGGTAACGATTTACAGAAAAAACAACATGGCGGGAATAAAAAATTGAAAAGCTCGCGTCTGCCAGTGGGGTTTGGGGTCGCTATTGAGTCGTCGATCTAGCATGCCCTATTGTCAACTCCAAATGCATCGTATGGAGCGACGGGTTGACCTTTTTTGATGTAATTTGAAGCCGAGACGCGACGGTGTTCAAGCTGGCGCCAACGAATTGGGAGGAACTTCAAATTCCGTCGATGTTAAGTAGCCTAATGCTCTCATGCATACATCTGAGATCTCAGCAGCGTCCTTCTTGGCTCCTGCATTATTTGATTTATTCGATTTCCTGTCACACATAAACAAGATTTTCGGAAAGGCCTGTACTTGAAAAATAGGTTTATAAATCGGAATATCCAAAAAAAAAAGAGTGTTCAAGAGCTGTCGCCCTCCGTCAAATCAATGACCGGACCAAGTTGAACGTTCTGAGTTTTCTTCCGCTTTTTTCCCGCAATGTTTACATTCGCGGCGAGTGCCTGAATTGCTGTGGCGCTGGAGGTGCCAGAAGTTGCACCTGGCAAGGTATTCGCCGTCGACATAGTTTGTGTTGCGGGAACAGTGGTAGAGGTCGCTGAAGGTCCAGCAACAGCATTAGATGAGCCAGCTGAAGGGCCGGATGGTCCAGCCTTTGAGCCAGCTGCGACCGCAAAGGGTTGCACTCCATCTAAAGCTCTTCTGACGTCTGCATAACGGCCGCCCATAATTTTAGCAATGGTGTCGTCGGTGCCAATCGAAGCCAGAAAAACTCTAGCTTGCTTCTGCCGACCAGCCCATCTTGCAGCTTCGACAATCTCCTTGTGTTTCTTCACCACTAATTGATGCGGGGTGCCGCTTCGCACCGTCACATAAGTGCACAAATCCCTCGCGTTCGTGAGTCGAGTTTCCAAGTGACTTCGGCGGTATTGTGCGAGTCTAAACGTGTGCTCCGCCGCATCCAACAACATGAAAGAGTCCAAACTGTTACAATCTTCACAGCCACAGCCAACTTTGCGTAGTTGCGAGCGATTGTTGCGCGTTTTTGTGCCCAGCATATCGCGGAGGTAGGTAGCGATGAACAGCTGCATGAGATCGAGGAAAGGGGAGGTGCATATGTCAGATTTCGTCTTTACGAGGAGCTCCCGAAGACGCGGGATCAACGGAATGTAAATTTTCTGGAACTTGCTGGTGGAGTCGCCTTTACACCTTAGGACAAGGACGAAAAGCTTCGCGCAAGGACCCATGTACGACGTCAGGATGCAAAGCTCAACAAGCTCGGCGATCCGGTCTATCTTCCGGGTATCGGGTTGTGACTGGCCGTAGTATGGGTATCCAGGTTGAGAGACAACAGCCTCCCACTGCGGTATGGCCGCCTCGAGGCATTGTTCGATTAGTTTGTTGACAGCTTGCTTTCTCGTCTCTGTTTCGTTTTCGCCATTAGCCGCTGTCTCAGCCGGGGCTGGCCTAGAAGCCGGAAGATCATCGCGGTTTTCATGTAGCGCCTTGATAAACGCGACCCAGAAAGGGTACGTGGAGGTCTTTTTAATCAGGTTGGGTAAGATCCTACAAAGAAGAAGTGTTACTCTGTCATCCCTTGAGGTTCAACGAAAAGAAACGTACACGTCGCTAACACATGAAAGCCCTCCCGCTTTTGCAACTGTGAGTATCATGGGGATGTCCTCTACCAACGCCGAGTCATATGACCCAAGAGCTTGCGTTGATTGGACTTCACACCAAGTTTGAACAGCGTCCTTTTCGTTTTCCGGCGCATGTGCAAGGAGGGAATTGATGAATTGCAGCCGATCCTGAAGCCGGGTTGATCGTTTGAGCATTTCCTCGAAGCTAGGCACATTAGAAAAAGATAGCAAGGCAAGAATTTCACGTACCTTGGACGCACAGTCTCAAAATAAAAGGCCGTCCACGCCTGGAGGCACTTTTCTGTTCCAAAGGTTAGTAGCGAATAGCCGCTCGCTGCTACAACAGCTTTCCACATTGTAGGATCAAACCACTTCAAGGAGTAGTCCGCAATCGTTGTTAACGTCAGTTTATCATTCGGTTTAACGCTTTTGAGGATGAGATTCGCCATCTTTCTGTCCTCTTGTGTCGGGGGTACCGCGGTAGACATTTTGAGCCTTTGGAGGGCGTAATGTACGCCCCCAGCAGAGAAAAATGTCTCTGTGGCGTGTTCTCCGTGCAAAATCAGCAGCACGCTTCGATGATAAACTGAAAAAGGAATTAAAAATATGCCGGAGAAAATGCCGGACTATGCGCACAGTATTCCAGTTGTCCCGCGCCCTATGGGATGGAGTATTAGAGTAGAAGACAAAAAAGAGAACATCGACGACGTACGTTGCCCATATATCCTTCATATTCTTTGTCATCAGGTTCCAGGCCTTCAAAGGGGTCTTTCGGCACGAGCCACTCTTTATCGAGGTTGAGTTTATGAGGCCCAAGGAGTTTGTTACCATTCAGATCAACCACGTTCATAACAGTCAGGCTCTCGTCGTCGACCTCGAGCATCGAGGGGTCCCCTCGATCCTCATCATAATCATCATAATACCTATGACGTTTCCAGCCACCGTGACTTCGATACCCGTAGTCGTCGTCCGCGGATCCGGTCATGGTGTATTTCAGATTTGCAAGACAGACCACATAGCCCAACTCCTCCGCAACCGGCCGAAGGTGAGCTACCTTGTGGGCGTCTTCACCTTTCAGCGTTGCAGCGCCAGAAGCGAAATTGGCGGGACTATACTGGTGTTTGAGAAGGTACGCAACAATCTGCGTCGACATCGGGGGTTCCTCATATGCGTCTTTACTCCACTTGTGGAGGACGCGCCGGATTTCATTGACAGCGGAATTCATGTTGGGAAGAGAAGGGATGGGGACACCAGGTGAAGTATGGATGAGATTGTACGACAAGGCCAGCCGGTACCCGGACGTCACGGGCTTCACTTCGTGCTTTACATCCGTGTACCAAGCAAGTGCGCAGGTGCTGAGGAGCGAGTTGGGTGATAGGTCGATTACCATCGTTTTTGACGCATGTGTTACGTGGACCTCACCCCCCGTATACAAGGATGGTAATACGATGATGAGGGTGGCGAACATCCCATCCGCCTTTTGAGTGCTGCGAAAGTTCTTGAATCAATATCACATTTTACGGATATAGGGAAAAAAACGCTTACTCTTGATGAGGAAGGAAGCTGAAAAAGTCGTCAGCCATAATGCGGGATCTAGATAAGCAGTCAAACTTACTGCGAACCGGTTTCATAGAGAAGAAGCTTGTACAACTCGCATTTCGGCAAGGTAGAGTAAGGCACAACACCAAGTCCTTGCCAAACCGACGTCATTGCCAAGTTTTGAATATATGGTTCCCATGCAGGGTTGAGGAATTTGAGGTTCGAGGGTTCGATCTCCCAGGTGTCTCTGACTTCCCTATCGACCACGGTACGCTCTCCATGTCCAAACGGAGCCTGTGCGGAGCAGGAGATAATAGATTTTGCATCCCTCTCACTTAGAGGAAGTCCAACCATGCCCAAGCCTTCAATGCTCAAGCAGGGATTTGGAGCATGAGGAAGCTTAGCTGAGTAGTACGCGTTTCCCTTGAAGTTGAAGTCACCACTCAAGGCATCGTCCAGCTCTTCCTAGTACAAGATGGGGTTCGTCATCGGGCAAAGCGGAGGTGGTCATAACTCACGATCAAATCTCCACCCTCTGAAACCTCCGACGATCCCTCATCCTCGTCTTCCTCATCCTCATCATCATCCTCGTCGTCCTCATCCTCCCCATTTTCGGCGTCCCCCATTTCATAGTCCATATTGGTCTGCGGACAATCCCACTTCACTCCGTCGCCGGGCTGCACCGTCTCCATATTCTGGTCGTCCACCGGAGCGTATATAATAGGAGGGTAATTGGGTTCCGAAGCATCACCGACAGCGGGGTCAATCCCCGCCATGTCTTCAGGCCCTGACTCGACAATGGATGTTCTGAGTCCACTGTTTATGGCCTCCAAAGTAGAATTTGCGTCGTCTGGTACTGCCGCGGAAGCCGACGTGACGGTTAGAGAATCATTGGAAGCCACTGGGTCGATGCCTTGAGGCCCTGACTCGATGTTTGATGCCCCACATTCATTTTTTGATGGTTCCAGTGCAGAATTAGTGTCGTCAGCTGTTGCGACGGACGCAGCCGCTTCCATAACTTGCGGCGACTGTGCCAGCAACGCCGCCTCAGCCGAGGTTCCAGGTTGAATTGGTGCTGGAGCTTCACCGAGAAGCTCCGACGCTATCTCGCTTTCGCTTGCAGATGCGACCAGAGGAGAGGGCCTAGACGAAGTTGGACTGGTTGTAGCCATGATCGAAGGAAGGTAAGAAAGCGCCCAGGAGCTTCAATTTGCTCAATGATAATTTCTGTAACACGCGTCTCGTCACACCACATGTGCTTGTGACATCATCACCACACTTGCAGGTCACTCTCCCCTAAGTCCTTTACAAAAAATCCACAGAGCTCACTTCTGCAATTTGACATGCAACAGATGAATAATGGTACCAAACCCCTGGATTATCGGGGAGGCGATTTAATTTTTGAGAAGACCAACCTTGCTTGGAGGACCTTTTTAGACTTCATATCCGGGTTCAACCCAGCCTAACTTCCTACCGAGCAACCAGAAACACCCAAACCCAGATATTCTGTCCAGGCGGGCAGAAAAGCACTGCGAATTTGACTGAGATGGGTCGGGAGAGGGACTGGAAGGATCCTTTTACCGGAAGGGCGTTTGAACAAGTACTCCAGTAAAAGAAATTTTGGGACCATGACTTTGAGCAGTTATGCTGATGAGGGGTTGCTCAAGATAATAACCACAAAAACGTCTGATCGGGTACAGGACCTCGTAACCATTTATCCGAACACCATCAAATAGCGGCCATAGTGAGACGGAAAATATACACGTTCGAGATTTTCGCCCGTGAGGAGGCAGATGGAGACTCGGACTCGGCTTGACTTTTTCAGGCATTCCCAAGAAACTTGGGATGGGCGCGTCGGATGACCCCTGAATCAAAAGTTTTGTATTTTTCGAGGTGGTATTTGTTGCCGTGGGCCCCAACTGGTGGGTGTTGTCGAGTACATCAACCAACGTCCCATAGAATAGTTAAGTACATAGTGGGCCGTATGCCAGCGCAACCAGTGCTGAGGAACGGAAGTGACGCAGACGCATCCACCTCTTGACAACACCTGTGGTGCCCATTCGATCTAGAATCAAATGTCAGATATTGACAAGTAAAGTCAACGTCATAGATTACTCGGAAGGTTGCGCTCATGACCATGATCAACGAAGCAAAGGAGAGCGAGTTCCATGAGAGACTCCAGATTTGCGTCAGATGATTATCGATGCGTCTCGCCAAAGTTCAAGTATAGAAAGCCAAGTGGTCATTTGTAGCGTCAAGTGGGCATGAGGACGTCACGATTGGCGCTCAGCATAACAACCTAGAAGTCCTATGTCATTTATACCGTCATGTGCCCCGATGTTGTAGATCCGGACGAGGCAAAGCTGTGTCGCGGGTTGATATGTTGCGACCTTTGAGGAATCTGTTATCGTATCTTCTAGGCTCATTGAAGCAACCTGGGCCTTCCAAGCGCAAATCGCTTGGTCTTGAAGGCTTCCTTTCCCTGAGCGTCTCGTTATAGGTACTTTGGGCCATGTGAAAAGCCTGGGCTGGTTTCAGTAATCCCGCAAGCTCGCTTCGCCAGGTGAAAGCAAGAAGGAGTTGGATACTTGAAAGGTCATAGTGGTCAGGAGCACAGCAGCTGCGGTGTTTACAGAATTTTTGTTTTGATCCAAAGTATATATACCAAGATCAAACCTAGCGAACCCTGGGCAAACACTCCGACCCCTTTCCCCCACACCTTCTCAAACACTCACCACCACCACTACGTTCACCACGACGACCACCATGGCAACCACGGAGCCAGCCACGCCTCTAACGAGCAGTGAAAACGAGGCTTTGAACATGGCAGAAGTCTCGCTGGGACCAACAAATCTGTTAAACGCCCCTGGTTTTGAGCCAACGGCGCCCGGCACAGGAGTCTCAGGAGCACTTTCCTCAGCGAGGACGTCTTTCACACGTGTTGGGCTGGACGATGAAGCCCCTGCTTCACACGACCGACCCTCAACTTCCCTATCAGAAGCACCGCGAGTTCCTGCCAACGAAGCAATCGACAACCCAACCTCAACCTCCACTGCCGCCATTCTTCCCATAGAGCCCTCAATGCGGGTCGAGCAACCTCCAACTATCGCCCAAGAAGTGCTGGTTCCTCAAACACCGCAAACCTTCATTACTTTTCTCCTTATCTCGGGACGGAGACGGACTATGTCATTTGAGCCTGAGACGACGATAGGCAGGGTTAAAGAGCTAGTATGGAACGGTTGGCCTGGAGGTGCGTAATATGTTCACGACCTTATTTTTCTGTTATCTGACGTGGTCAAACAGACTGGCAGGATGAGCGACCCCCAGCACCCTCTTATTTAAGAATACTCTACTTGGGCAAAATGCTGCAAGACGATGATACTTTAACAAGTTGCGTGTCTTTTGCCTTCGTTGCCTATTCTCTCGCCGCTCTTTATCGAAGATTTAACCCTATCATCTACTCTCTTTTCCAAACAATCGAACTCGTCTGACTTTGATATAAATAGACCTCAAACTGCCAACACACACGCCGCAGTCAACATCAAACGGCTCTGGCTCAACAACGCCTCCACCGACAGCTACCATAGTCCATCTCTCAATCCGACCCTACGCTCCTCCTGGGGACGGCGACGCCCCCAAAAAGAAGAAACGGGGGAGGGCAGGTGACGGTGCGTATCGTTTCCCCCTCGCCCTGCTCTATTAATAGTGACACGGGTTTAGCGAACAACTCGCCTACGGGCATGAACGGAGCTCGTGACGAACAGGCCGGAGGGGCCGGGTGTTGTGGGTGTGTCGTTTGCTAGCCTGGCTGGATTGAGGCAGGAAGAGGACATGAGAAAGAGGGCAACGGGTAGCCTTCATCCGTGAGTTACTATCTTTTTGACGATACGACATATAGGTAATGATGACGTATGATACGCATTGGCGCAGATTCATTCAATTCGACCTGGACCCATGTCATTGATATCTATTACTTCAACCCTGATTCGAGCTTTGATAGGAGGCTTCAAGATCAACTATAGCGCCTCATCCATCCACACGGCAACTCGCTCGCCGTCATTCTGCCTTGCAGAGTGTGTGCTGTTGCATGCCTTCACACGCCATGCCGACGTCAACCTTGACGTCCGTGTTCCGTATTTGTCCATACGTCATTCAAACTCTTTGTTATCATGCAAATCCTTCAACCATTCTTATCTCACGAAACTACACGAACCGCAAATGGCCTTCGACATTCCTTCGATCATACGAGCGTCTATGTATGCTGAACCACATTCATAGGCTGATAACGCCGCCGATTGTTCCTATTGGGCCCTTTGCTGCCCGCCCGCCTTATATCCACTCAGGCCATGGGAACTTGCCTGTTCTCTACACGTTAAATTACATTTGTTCTTCAGGGTCTTCTCTGTCCAAGTGGCTTGTTTTTTACTGCTACCTTGAATAACCTATGGTACCACTTCTTTCCGGTGGCATTGCCTTTGCTATTACTTTCGCATAACATCTCTTACGTCACCTCACGCAATTGCTCGATGGGCTATACTTGGGGCCGAATTTCTACTTTACAGATATCAACACATCTACAGTCATTCACCGGTCACTGATACAACACCTGTCACTGATACAAACCACTCTCACCACGTCAATTTTGCCTCTCCTCCTTAGAAAAAAAATAGATACAATGCTCTTGTGTATGGCTACCTGAATATTACATTCTCCTATCCATTTCTTACTCCAGAAGTATTATAAGTCTGTCTTTACCAAGTTTGATGTGTTTTCAGGAATTGTGTCAGGCCTTTCGGCTCTGATGTACTCAACAAATATATTTGGTCTTGGACTTGAAAGAAAGGCCGAAACCAGGAGAACATATATATATTTGAATTTTGTGGACTGAGAGCTGGAATCAGCAGTAAATGGCGGAAAAGTAGAAAAGAGTCTTTCGAACTGATTATTTGTCAATGTCACACATCCCAATTGGGAAGACAGAGAAAAATTCAGTTTTTGCGATCGGCTGGTCTCACCGTCTCAGAGCACAAGAATGGCAGGACGCGCCAAATCCGACGAGAAGAAACGACAGATCCAACGTCAAATCAAAAATGGCCTTCTTGTACGTGCGGTCACACTGTATCGACATGAACGCAAAGCCACGCAGGGCTGTAAACCACTCAGCCTCCGACAAGTCTGCACACAGATTCAAGACGAGCACTTTGCGGAAACCCGGAAGTCGGTCAAGCTAGCTCCAATGACAGTCCTCTGGCTTGTCAAGGGCGGGAAGCTGAAAAGTACCAGCAACACTGAGAAATCATGGTTGCACGTCAGGGAAGCTGACAGGGTCATCGACTACGCTCTGGAACTCGCAGCCCGAGGGTTCCCACTCAGCCACCAGAGACTAAAGGACCATGTCGATGGGATCCTTAGAGCCCGTTTGGGAAGTCGTTTCCCAGCCAAAGGCGTTGGTGTCAATTGGACCGCGCGCTTCGTCACGAAACATTCTGATAGGCTTCAAATGTTCTGGACCCACAACCTTGATACAAAAAGAGGCCGAGCTGTCAATCCCGCAACCAACAAGGAATGGTTTGACCTACTGGAGTCTGTCCTCAATGGGGAGAGAGACCACGAGTTTGATGAACCTCCTTCGGATAGTGACAGTGATTCAGATGACGATGATCCTGACATGCCTGGATTGTCTCATGTTGAGGAGTTGAACCAGGCACTGGCAGGGGATGAGGGTTATGTCGATGATGAACCTGACAACGACGACGTACCAGAGAGAGCCCACGAGTTTGATGAACCTCCCTCGGATAGCGATGGTGACTCGGATGACGATGATCCCGACATGCCTTGATTGTTCCATGTCGAGGAGTTGAACCAGGCACTGGCAGGGGATGAGGGTTATGTCGATGATGAACCTGACAACGACGACGGACCAAACTTTGTCCCCATTTTGGAAGAGAACATCTACGGAACAGATGAGTCGGGCTTCTTTCCTGAAGGTGGAGTTAAAGTGCGGGTGATAGGCCCGAGAGGAAAGAAAACACAGCACCAGCAATCGGATGGCGGAAGGGAGAACACCACTGTAATGGTGACAATTTGCGCAGATGGTTCCTCAATCAAGCCTGTCGTGATCTACAAGGGAAAGCATTTTCAAGTGAAATGGGATCAGAACAATCCTACAGAGGCTTCGTGAGTTCTAGAAATCTATCACTTGCTGGATCAAGTTCACAAACGTTGACAAGGCTGGCATACTCCCAAAAGGGGTGGACCGATGGCGAGATTGGTGTTGAGTACATCAAGGACTTTGATGAGCAGACCAAAGAAAAAGCGAAGGGTCGTGTCCGCGTCCTTCTCGTGGATGGGCATAACTCACATCACACCTTGGCCTTCCTTTTGTATGCATGTGAGCATCGCATTCACGTCCTCTGTTATCCTTCCCATGCAACCCATGTTTATCAAGGTCTCGATGTCGTCATATTCACGAAGTTGAAGCTGTTTTGGACGCAGGAGAAAGACAAATGGCTGCGCGAAAAGAGAACAAAGGTCAACAAAACGAATTTTCTTAGAATCTATGGTGCTGCTCACATTCGAGCCCTCACCCCGGAGAGCATCAAGGAAGCCTTTCGCAAAACAGGTGTATGGCCATTCAACCGAGATGTCGTTACCGCGGAAATGATGGCCCCCAGCCTGGAAACCTCTTGCCGAGGACATCTCCCCATTACTCCAGCCACCCCGCTACGCGCCATTACAACTCTCATCCATCGGGCTAACAAACGAGCTCGAGAAATCACACCATCGCCTGAGAGAAGCAACAACGATAACTTACCTCACACACCCACTCATACGGTGTGACGAGACCTCTTTGAAACACCTGTCCGCTCAGCACTCTCATCACTCCGCACATCTTCCATGTCCTACCTTATCACCTCATCACCCATCCAATCAACCTCTCAGCCACCATCCTTCACTCCAGTTGTGATATCCCCCCAACAAGCCAACCATGCACAGCTTTTGAGTGCTAGTGCTGAGACCGTACGTGAACTCGAGCTTCAAGAAGCATTGAAAGAGGCTCTTGCCAAGGGGCAGCGTCAGAAACTTAGTCTGATTGAGATGCAATCAGCCATGGTCCTCAACGGCATCTATGTGGAGGACGTACGAGGTCAGCTAACAGCACAGGAAGAAGTGGCGAAGAACAAGAAAAAGGAAGGGCGATTGGTATCAGATGGACGCCCACGACTTTACACAGCAAAACAGTTCACAGAGGAGGTCAGGGCACATACCGAAATGGCAAACCGAAAAGCCGTCGAGAAGCATGTCCGCAAAGAGAAACGCGCAGCAAGGGCCGCAACCATGGGCGGTTACAAGGCTGCAGAGGTTGTGCGGCTGGCGAAAAACAAAGTCATTAGGGAGGCGTACAAAGAGGAAGTGAGGCTGTGGGATATTGAGAGAGATGCGGCGAAGTTGGAGAAGCGACGGCCAGCATGGAAGAAACCGGTGTTGAAGGGACGTTTGATCCCAAAACCCCCCGTTCCAGCTGTGATGGGGGAAGACCAAGGAACGGGTGCAGGTGGTGACTCAGATGATGCGGAGGGCGGGGAAGCTGATGCTTCGAACAGTGATGCCTCAGACAGTGACTCTTCGGGATCAGACAACGAGTAGACAGATATAATGTTCAATACATTGGGATCCCTAACAATGAACCCATTGATCTGACTACCTATCTGTGGTGTTGACCTAATCCTGACTTTTCTTCGCACTCTTCAACAGTTTCCCTCCCACATATGCCATAGCCTCCCTCAACGACTGCATCTCCTTCTCCAAACGATCATAATCTTTTGCAAGCCGGATGTTCTCGTTGGTAGTCTTCAGATGGGCTTCTTGCACGCAGATGAGGTCTTTGCGTGTTTGAGTGAGTTCCTCGTAAAGTTGGTCGCAGTTGCTGAGGACCTCCTCGCAGCTAGCGCACTCGACTTCTCGAGATGCCCCCTCCGCAACAAGGTTGTCATGCCAGGTTTGAGAATCGATTTGGGAATCAAGGATTCCCAACGGTGCGAAGTCCCTGTTAACCGCAGTACATTAGTCACGAAAGATGTAGTATATAATGTAATGAACTCACTCAACAGTCTTGAGTGCAGCTTTTCGAGCGCTTTTCCTCCCCCGATGCTTGCGAGGTGGGCTCCTTATATCAATCGAGTCGACGAGCTCCAGGTGATGGAGAATGGCTTTCTGCGCCGCTTTGTTGGAGGCAGCCTTGGAGGAAGTAGAAAGGGAGGGTGAGTTCAAGCCATGAGTTCGGTCCACAAGACAGGGACGAGTAGGGCTGGAGCTTGGTTGATACGTCGAATCGGACATCGCGGTTGAGACGTTGACAGGATGCAAAAAATAAAGGCAAACATTGATTGATATGCCTTGATTTGGTGTTTTGTGACTGTCTCATTGACTCGTGTGGGGGCCGTTTTCACTGAAACCTTTCTACTTCAGCGAGCTGGAGAGGGAAAAATTTTTGAACTCTGTAGTTGCATTAAACACATGTATTCTTGTATTCTAGCCTACTTAGATTTTGAGGAATGGACATGAGATGGTGAAGATAGAGAAACTACAAAATTTTGTATCATTGACTGGTGAATGACTGTACATGTCCCTAATCTCGGCTCCAGATGTGTAGAGAGGTCCGGTCCGGCGGTCCGCGGAGTTTAAAGTCGGAGGCAAAAAAAGCGAACAAAACACGAACACAGGACCTCTCTACTACATCTGGTGCAATTTGATCAGTAGGGGTAGGCTCGTGTGACAACGTCACGGTGGTCACTTTTGTTCACACCATTCCTCCTCCTACTCAGGCAACGAAATACAGTCATTCACCAGTCAATGAGGCACCCAAATAAAGAATGGCGTCGAAAATTTTAAATACAAGGGATTTGGACATTATGAACTGAGAGAAGTGTGCGCATACATCGTACCCTATGTAATACCTAGTTATAAACTCAAATTCACGTTGTTGAATAGTATATCACATGTTATCAGTGCTGCCAACGAAGATCAGTGTGAAACCAGTCAATGAGGCAGATGTCACACTGTCCTAATTTGGGCATTTTGCTTAGTCACTTCAGTTTCCCATCACTTCGTCAGATGTCTGTGGCAAGTGTGACAGAATGTGACCTTCCCCCTTTCAAGTGTGATTTGGTCCATTCAGTGGTTTTTGGTTCACTGGAGTATCAGCTCAGCTCAAAACTCTTGTAATTGAATATTTATTGAATGCCTTAAGATATTATAAAACAAAAATGGCTCTTTTCCGAAATCTAGGGCCAAGATCACTCAGATAATATTCAGTTTTATGGTGAAGGAGCACTTATCTACAGATATCAAGAGATCAAAACATGCTACAGCTTAGAAACTTGGGATTACTATAAAGGCTATATATGCGCACACAACGGAGAAAGAATTAAAGAAATAGCTAGAGAACTGACCCCGGAAAAGTGTTTTGACTCACTGAGTATTGTGACTCAGTGACTGGTGAATGACTGTAATACCACCAACTTCAATGTTCTTTCTGAAAATGAATTTATTACACTACCTTGATTGGATCTGAATAGTTGTCTATTTTTTTTTCTCTTGAAGAGGCATGCTACTTGGTCAAAATCAAATGCTGATCACACAACCACATATTTTACTAATAAATTTCTGAGACTGGTGTGGACCTGCCTAATGGTTTGGAAACCATGTAGACTATATGTTTTGGCCGTATGGAACTGAGGATGTGCAAGTTTCCTGCTTTGGACTGTAGGGATGTTGCACAAGCAGATAACATCTTTTGCCTTATCCAATGCACAAAACTGGGTACTGTGAAGTGCAAAATGCTGTCCTTTGTCATTGATTTGTACATAGGATTGAAGAGAATATTAGCTTTTATTTTTGCAAGCTACTTTTGAAAGACTGAGTTTGTTTCCTGCACCACTGACCTTTCAGAAGGCTTGTACTCTCCTTCAACTATGATTATATGCTCACAATGAAGCTAAGGTGTAGAGCTCAGTTATTTTATACTTTATTGGTGATAAAGCATGCTATAAATCTCAGAAATAATTTTGGAGCTGACATGAAAGTTGTAGAGATGATTTGGGATGCAGGACTTCTTGAGGATGAGGTGTGTTACTATGAGCCTGTCACATGAGCCTACCCCTTCCTATCAAAATGCACCAGACATTATAGGGCAGGATCTTGTGCGTGAATTTTCTCATTTTTTTGCCTCCGACTTTAAAGTCCGCTGATGGGATCTTATCTCCCTCCTGGACAGCGCTTGATCCTGCCCTATAATGTCAGGAATGAGACTAACATGTCCCTATGTTGTGGCGGTAATCAATCAATTTCTCTCAAATTTTTCTTCACCTTATGGAGAGACAGTACTCTCAACTATCTGACTGCAGGAGATGTCAATCTGCTGGACAGGTCTGTCATACCTAGTGGATTGCCCATACATCCAGCTGTCCTTTTCTATCTGTCGTTCAATCTTCATGAACAACACACATCCCATAGCTCCCGATTCGTCTTGATACTGCTTTACCTTCCTCATCTGACTTGTCAGGTTGCCTCAAATGACAATCAACTAGGTCAATCAATACAACAGGATATGTGTAACAGATGTGCATCAGCAAATCTACAGATTACTTGTCGGCTTTTTGCAACTTTTTGCAGCTGACAGCTTGTTGTATGGCAGATATAGTGTGCAAAAAGTATTTAGCATAATATTTCCCACAAGTTGCAGTATTCCCTGTATAACTGCACTAGTTCCAGCCCACCAAATAAAGTTCTACACATGTAGGTCCTGAGGACGTTGCCCACCTTGGTTGTCAGAGATGAATGCCTTGAGTTCGTCAATGAGTTTAAGTATGTCAGGGTGACATTCAAGTCAACACACCAATTTGTTTTGCACATCATTATGTCAATAAAGTGTCCAAGGCTCGCAATGTGGTCTTTGCAACTTTTGCAGTGGAGTCTATGGTGGGGACTATCCCTCCTCAGGAGGGCTCTACAAGTCAAGGGTTGACCCTCATCTCACTTTTGCCTGTGAGGTGGCAATTTGATGTTGATGGTTCCTTCTTGGCTTTGTTGGAGGATGTCCAGGTCCTCTTTCTGCGTAGGCTTCTGGGGCTCCATAAAAGATCTATGTGTGCTGTCCTCTTCACAGAAACAGGGGTCATGCCCATTAGTTACTGCCATATCATCCTTGCATTGCAGTATCTACAGTACTTGCTAAAACTACCTGCACATCACTATGCCTGCACTGCCTTCAATGATGCCTGTGTCCTGCATGCAGAGAAAAAGCCTTCCTGGGTGGGGGATATTGTCTTTGTGCTCTCCTGCCTTCAAGTCCCAGTTGTGCTGAAGCCTGTCCATCTTGCTGACCCTGACTCAATTCCAGATCTTATAGCTGAGGTTGAGGCATCATGTGCACGCACTTTACAGAGGGACATTGACAAGTCTGAAAAAATGGTCCTCCTCAAGAAACACATCTCTGCTTCTGGTCCTGTCAAGTTGTCTGATGTGCTAAGGTATCGACACTGCCTTGACGTTGTTGTTCCTGCACACCACAAGGCACTAACACAGCTTCTTACCTCCTGCCATGCACTCACCATGAATTCCCTTTGGTGGGATCCTGTTCAGTGAAGGGATGTTCCATGGGAGCTGAGGTTGTGTCATTTTTATCATGATGGGCCTGAGGATGAGTGCCACGCAATGCTATAATGTGTTGGAAGTGAGGCACTTATGCAAAGGAGGGGGCTCTTCTTTTCAGATGCCCAGAAAGTCGTGCCCAGCATGTAAACTGCAGTGTTGACTCTCCCTCCTCTGGACTCATTGCGCTTCTTGCCACTTGGTGGGTGAAGAAGGGATTGTTGTGATCTTCGCAAAGTACACCTTTGACGTGCTCGGTATTTTTAATTCAGTTGAACTTCACTTGCATCCTGCATTGTTCCCCCCCACCCTCTCTCCTTAGTGCTTCCTTGGCTTTCCTTCCACTGCTCCTTTCTTTTCTTTTTCATTGTGTTGTGTTGTGCTGCAGTAGTTTGGCTTTGCATCCTGTGTCTGAAGTGTGCCACATCTGTTGCAGATGAGACAGTTGAGGTCAGTTGAGCTCATCCTGGGTCACAGTGAGTTTTGGCTGCAGTGGCCCCTCCACAAAGGTTTTAGCTGTAGGCCCTGCCATTCTGGTCGGGGGTGGGCTTTGTCTGGTCAGTCAGCTGATCACAACAGTGGCAGTGTGGTGTACTCCATAGCACGATTGTATTTTGATGCTGTAGTTGTGTATCGGGAACTGGTTGTTCCTTATTGGGACCGCTCTGGAAGAAATCTATCTATCTATCTATCTATCTATGTAGGTGTAATGGCGTGATGGTATATACTCCATGTGTGACCTAGAATCATCATATTTACTTGTATTTGTCCTTACTCTGTATAGTGTTGTGTTCACAACAAATATACTCACTTTGCCACCACATCATATATTACATGTGGACGGAGTCACACCCTTTCTGTACAGCTAGGCAGCCATACGCCTCCCCTCCAGGATACCAGAGTCCTGCACTGGGTGACCACGCCCCAGTTTCTGGGTCACAGGATAAACTACACGTGGTACCGCTTTGCGGCACCACATTACGAACTCTTTCATGTGTACCATGAATCTTCTCCGCCACTAGTGGCTACCACTAGTTATCATATAAAAGAGGTAACTGCCTATAGGTCCCTGTGTATCCATCCACACTCTTTATGATAGGGAATCATTCCTGTTACCATGTATTTTCATTATCATAAACCTTGCGCTTTTTTCATTAAGTGTAGGTAAGGCCTTTGGCCTCCCTCATAAGCTAGCCTTGGGTTATCATTACTGATTTCATTGACTTGCTTAGGCAATATCATTGGAAATTTCATTAGCTAAATGGGTGATATCATTGCGATTTTCATTAGCTATCTGGTCAATATCATTGCGATTTTCATTAGCTATCTGCCCAATATCATTGAGAATTTCATTTCCTACATGGGTGCTATCATAGTTGTAGTTTTCATTAGATACCAGAAAATATCATTGGAAATATCATTTTCTACTTAGACAATATCATAGGAATTATCATTAACTACTTGGCTTATATCATTGCCATTTTCATTAGCTACATGGGCGATATCATTGCATTTTTCATTACATACCAGAAAATATCATTGGAAATATCATTTGCTACTTGGGGAATATCATTGGAGTTTTCATTAACTACTTGGCCCATATCATTGCAATTTTCATTAGCTACATGGGCGATATCATTGCATTTTTCATTACATACCAGAAAATATCATTGGAATTATCATTAACTACTTGGCCCATATCATTGGAAATATCATTAGCTACATGGGCGATATCATTGCATTTTTCATTACATACCAGAAAATATCATTGGAAATATCATTTGCTACTTGGGCGATATCATTGGAATTTTCATTAGCTACTTGGTCAATATCATTGCAATTTTCATTAGCTACATGGGCGATATCATTGCATTTTTCATTACATACCAGAAAATATCATTGGAATTATCATTAACTACTTGGCCCATATCATTGCAATTTTCATTAGCTACATGGGCGATATCATTGCATTTTTCATTAGTTACCTTGAAATTTTCATTAACTACATGGGCAATATCATTACAATTTTCATTTGTTATATGGGTGATATCATTGCAAAATTCAGTAGTTGTCCATGCGATATCATTGAGATATCATTGATTATCCATGGCGGTATCATTGCAAATTTCGCTACTTATCATGAATTATATGCGAAGATAGTTGTCGGTGTGATATCATTCACAGTGCATGCAATATCATTTCAAATTTCATTACTTAGCACAGATATATCATTGCGGCACCTTTCAGAATCTATCCATAACACACATCATTACCTTGATTGCGGCTTTCGATACTCCTTATTCAGTATTAATTTGCACAGCAAAAAAAAGAAATTAAATTTCAATAAATACACGGCCGGCATGTATGGTGTCAACTGTCAAGGGTGGCATCTATGAGTAATGAAAGCACTTAGTTAACCTGAATGACATCTATGTAAAGGGATTAGTTGATGAAAACAATATAAGTGTTCAAACTTACCTTTTGGCGTTGTTTGACTGTGGGGCTTGCAGCGCAAGATCTTCGCGACCTCGCTTGGTTCCTTTCGCGGTACGCGCGACCATCTCGTAAATCTGATCAATGACCCACTGAACGTCTTGAACAGCCGACCACGCACGCAAGCAAGGGGGAAGATGTGAAGGCAACACTCGGATCCACCATGAAAGAGCCACAACAACGGTATAGAGGCCGGCAGATCCACCTTTACGGAGCAATCGCCAGTCCTCGTCAGGCGGGGCCTCGTAAACGAACGATGCGTTGTCAGACAACCTCCAGGTCGGCTGGATGGCAAACCACCAATTCATGAACGAGGAGCCGTAGGTATCCGCGTCGACCTCGGGCGGTACCTCTTTCTTCTTACTCTTGATCCACGCTGCAACCTCAGCTGGACGCGAAGAGGTAGGTAAGTTCTGCAAAGTACCATCAGTATGTCATAGCACAACAGGTAGAACTAGGAACTTACCCCAGTAGTCGTGTTCAAGCATTCTAAACGGAAGAACGAGTTTATAAGCTCTTGCCAAGCATTATCCTTCGAAATAGCACGCAAGTAACCCGGCATACTGGTGTTGACAAGCCAAGCGGGGGGGCTAACCGTAAGCCGAGAAGCCACGTCACCACTATCGACGTCCATGGGCTCTTCTAAGGCAGAGACCTGTGCACCATCATCAGCAGTGGTAGGTGCCGCGGACACTTGAGAAGGGGAATTCGTGTCGGCTAAAGTGGACAGCGTGTCAGAAGGGCGTGAAGGGGGCAGGGCGACAGCTGATGGGAGCTGAGTGGAAGTTGGCGCTGAATGTGCTTCCGGCGAGGTAAGATGTTCTGCAGTATCCGTTGTTGAGGCAGTCGGGCTGGCGGATAACGTGGGTTTGACGGCGACTGGGACGGTACTGGTGGAGCCAGTCAACACTGGCAGAGATGGAGGAATGGAAGCAGTGGAGGAAGTTTCCTCGAGCGCTGTTGCAGCGCTCGGAGAAATTTCGCCTGATTCGGCGGTGTCACGAGCCTCGGAGTTGATCCCGTTAATTCCATTTCTCGTCGCCATAATACTATCAGGCGTCCTGGAAGAGGATTCGTTGCTTGAAATTGGGAGTTTAGCTGTGTGCACAATGCCAGGTACGTGTTTCTCACCTCGGTCCTTGGAGCGGACTCCTCGTCTTGTCTCCTTTCTTTACTGATCCTATCTGGCAGTTCTCCATCACTTGGCGCAATAATTCCTTGTTTCGGGCTATGTTTGCCTCTCGAGTGAGCTCGTACGCTGACTTGCTGCCTTTTTTCTTCGTTTTTACCCTTTCTCCCATCTTCTCTTTGCTGCCGACATCCTTGTTCCTTTCTTTCTTTTTGACACCATCTTCGCTATTGGCGTCCTCCTCGTTAACGGCACCTTCTCTCTTATGGGCACTTTCCTTGTTGTCATCAGCGTTTCCGGTACCGCTCTCCCCAACTCCTTCAGGTGAGTTGGATATCGAAGTTAGGCCTCTTCCCATCCGGACCTCAGCAGCTAACAACTTATTAGTAAAAAGCTTGGCTTATCATGGGCAGGACTTACGGAACGCCTTGTGTAGGAAATCATCAAAGGGGTCGACGATATGCTCGTCATAGGCGGCCTCTCCAAGAAAACCCTCGAAGTCCAACTCATTGGCCGTCTTGCCACAATTCAACCTTATCAACTAGCTAGTGAGAACCTGGCACCACAGTCGGTGTATACATAGCCTTACATGTATGTCATTATTTTACCATTCTGACGCGGTTCAGGTCCTCCGACTAGGAAAGTCACAAACCATCCCGTTTGCTTGAAGATCGATTCCCCCATCACGGAGAGAGTGCAGGGAAGCTTATCAATGGCACTGACGAAGGGTAAGTAACTAATTCTTTCAAAAACATCATCTCCTTTACTCACGCCTGGTAGGCATCATTTCGTTTGTCGGTCTCTTCATCGAGCTCAGCTTTCATCGCCGCTCGACGCTTTCTAACGTCCGCCTTGACTTCCTCCGTCTCCTCCGCGTACTTGCTCTTAAGGAATGAGTTCATGAAAGCGAAACGTCCCTGAGGAACTTTGACTCCAGGGTTTTCGTCTTCCCATTTCGTCTTGTAAGCTTCCCATTCGCTATCAATCACGGCCTTCCATTTACTCTCGTAAGTCATCGTCTGGTAGACTTGCCATTCTTGGCGAAGCCTTGGTTGCGTGATCTTCAAAACGCCCCGATATCCCGAACCTGATGTCGAGCCTCGAGTATGGTTATGAAACCACGACTTGATCCGCTGTCAAAGTTTATGTGAGTTATGTGTACATTTTATGTCAAGGGCATTTACATACCTCATCCTCTTTATCCTTCTTCGCCTTGGTAGTTTCATCGGGACCGCCAGCAGTGGCAACTTCATCCTCTTCGACAGGCCACAACTTCCTCCATTCCTTAAGGATTTCAGGAAAAAATTGAGTTGATGTCGTCTTGTCGGCTTGGGAATCAGTGAAGGCGGAAAGGTGTTCCTTGAGCCATTTCTCTTGTGAAGGGGTAGTCCATTTGCGGCGCGTCATGGTTGTCGATGCGGTGGTGGGTTGGTTATATTTTGACAGTTGTTTATGTTCTAGATGGTTGGTAATTTCAACTTTGACGTGTCAAGTTAGGGTTCAGTCTTTTTAAATCGGGTATTTCCAGGTTTCTCAATCAGATACCACCATATTGACACTGCACGCCATCTTTCTTCTCGTCAATCGCAAAGCCCCCTCTGGTGATGAACGGTGATTCTCTCCTCTCATTGAATTTCGTGTTAACTAACTCAACTACAGGACCACCGCCCCCAATTAACTATGCCACCCATCCGAGACGTGGCAAACAAAAGCCTGCTGCAAGTTTGACCCCATTGCATGGCGCTGTGCTTTCTCAACAAGACGGACGGGCTGACATTTCCCCATCCAAACAGGATGGTCGAGGTGATGCTCAGCGTGGCCAACAAAATCCTGCTGCAGATTTGACCCCATCGTGTCCCGTTTTCACCAACAGCGCCGTGCTCTCTCAACAGGACGGATGGGCGGATGTCTCCCCATCCAAACAGGATGGTCGAGGTGATGCTCAGCAGGACCGTTTGGCCGACACCCCCAACATTATCGACATTCGGCACACTGGTTCCCCTCCTTATCGGCAAGATCGGTCAGACATTTTTGGCACCACCACCGTTAACGTTCTTCTAACTCTCCCTCTGAACTGTACAGCTTCCCTGGTTCTCCCAATGGGCCATCTACGCCTCGAACCCCTCACCCCTCGCCTCGCAGGCAGCAGCACAATGGTTCATCTCCGTATCAGCAAGATCGATTGGACGATTTTGGCACCACCACCCTGACACGTTCTTTTAATTCTCCCTTTGAACCGTACAACTTCCCTGGTACTCCCGATGGGCCGCCTACTCCTCGAACTCCTCACTCTTCGCCTCGCAAGACCAGATTTTACTCTGTTGTTGTCGGAAGACGATGTGGAGTGTTTGAAAGTTGGTAAGTTGTCGTCAAATACTTTGACTGCCGTATTATCTCATATTCTTTCGATCTAGGGCATACGTTCATGCCTTGACCTCTGGTATTCCCGGAAATTGTCAGCGTGGCTTCAAGACTGCAGAGGCAGCCCTCCAGGATTATCATGAGGCGAAGAGGTTGGGTTTGGTCAAAGTCTGCAGGTTCCCCGGTGACGAACTCATTTTTGGACCCATTTCTGAGGCGGAGTTGTAGTTTTACCATAGCCAGCTTTTGATTGTGCATAGCATTGTTATTCCGTTAACGCTCTAGTTGAATTACATGCAGTTTGTTTGAAATGTGGAGGTTGTTGAATAATTTTAACGATAGGCCTCAATATTATGTGATGAATGAATGTTCAGTGGACACTGCGAGCGCAGGCTGTTCGCAAAAATGTATTCAATTGTATGCGATTAACTGACTGAGGGTGGACTAAATGTTCAGTAGATTCTACAAGTTGTAAGTGTTAAGTGTGAACTTGACTTCTCTGAACTTGAAGGTGGTACCGACTGCCAATCTTCAACTTGGTCACTCTATAATGAGGAGCGCAGGCTGTTCGCAAAAATATCAGTGCATGTCATTGTCGTTAAGCATGTAGATATTTTGTATGCCTTACATAGACATTGTTATAGTACTATTCTTACACAGATATTGTTATACTTAGTGCTATCTTACTCAAAGTTCAAGCGGTAGATCACCAACTTTCCATTACCAATGGTATCAGCCTCAGCGATCCTGATAGTTACATGTTCAGCTTGGAGAATTTGAAGACTACGTCAGTTTATTTGGGAATATCTTTAATCCGTGTCAAGCTGGATGGGTATTGAAAGGAATGCAGACCATGATATGACCCGGAAATTCAGTACTTTACACTCCCACTGCTTGTCCGACGGACTTTCATCGGACCCTGCCATTTCCGATGGACTCAGCGGACAGTCCATTGGAAGTCCGTCGGAGTCCATTGGAAATGGTTGGATTCCGCTGCTAGTCCAGGCAAAGTCCAGTGAAAGTCTGCTCAAGCCACTTAGAAGCAAGAAATGGTTGGACTGGCCGGATTTTGTGTCCATTGGACGTCCGCTGGACTTCCGCTGGATTTCCGATGGACAGAGGCAGAAACCAGTAATACTTGCTAAGTCATCAGTTTGCTGGACTTCTGCTGGACTTCCGAGGGACTTCCGATGGACTTCTAAGCAAAAAAGGTACATCAGAGTGCTAAGTAATCAGTTTGCAATTTTTATAAGTGTACATTTAATAATTCAATAGTGGGGTTTGAAACTTGTTAAGTAGAGTTTATATACATGTTTTGCTTACTCAGCTTCATCATCTTCAGTATCATCACCTTCCTCTTCCTGCATCACTTTAGCTGCTTTTTTGGCTTGGCGGGCAATAACTTTTCTAGTGTGATAAGAAAGCATCGTGTGAATAAACCAGTTGTAGTTTTGAGGTGTCATTCTCTTGAGGACTGATTCAAAACCTCCAAGCCATGCATTGAGTTGTTCACAGGCCTATTATTGGTTTATTAGTTTATCAATATTACAAAGATTCAAATTAGGTTTACCTGAGTATTAAATGCTCGTTTGTCATATGTTGATCCATCAGAAGCTATGGCTTTTATAACTAAATTTGGAGCAGACCCATCTGTGGGAGCTGGATTACACCATTTTCGACAAAGAACATCTTCTTTCCAATGTTTCTCATAGTGGAAAGTATCAACTATCAATCGTGTTGTTTCTGACCACTCATCCCAGTGACCTTGTGCAGCCATATGTTTAAGCACTTTACAAGCTTTATCAATGCAAATATAATCTGGACGTGATTCCTTTGTAGGATAAACCTTCTTCATAAAGGCCAGAATGTTTGACTCTGACTCTGATTTGGCAAATTTTGCCCATGCTTCAACAACACCACATGGACAACAAATTGTTTCAACACAATAAAATGTTGCAGGACCAAAAAAGTGCTTTAATTTTTTGGGTTCTGGAGCTGGCTGGTCATGTGGCTGAACTTCACGCTCAGATCTAGGATTCCACTCTGGATTTTCTTGCTGGCGGTTCAACATTCTTTTTGATCCTGCCAAACTTGCAGCTGAGTGATCCAGCAGGTATTTATTCCAAACACTTTGATGAGCTGCACAGGCCTTTGTGGGGCGAACCAAGGTCTCTGTGCAATCTCTAACACGACAGCGATCGCCAAACTCATGTTCATGTACTCGACACAAGGCACCTCCTCGATAATTAAGTAGATCACCAATGCAACCATCAGCAGCACAATGCTTTGTGCCATTAACCATTCCATCAATTACTCTCATGGTTACATTCCGCATCTGAACTGTGTTCTGTGCAGAAGTGGAAGGATCATTATTTGGGTTCAAAACCACATCTGATGTTGCTCGATATGGTTGTGAACACTCAGCACATGCATGACCTTTAGCTGGTTGAATTAAACCACCATTTCCTAAAGCTGCAAAAGCTTCTTCTGTTACTTCCTCTATTGATGATACATCTCGAGTGACAAAATCAACCCCCGATATTTCAGATGCCTGCCGGATAGATTCCTGCATGAAAGCAGCCCACACCTGGCGGCGAGACAGTGTGATACAGTCATTGCCATAAGTGTCATTGAAATAATTTCCCCAGCCAGATGTAGATGCATGAAGATGATATATTCCATTCATCACTGAAGATGAAAACTTGCGGTCAACCCAAAGCTTCTGGCAAATTTTAATATACAATGCAGAGTTCAGATATAATTGCATAGCTTCAGTATTCACAGTTGAAGCTGTACGTTCATGATCTGCATAATAAATAGTTTCACAGTTGTTACAATATCCAGAAAGCAACTGAACATTTTTAAAGACCTCTGTGCCTTTGATTAAAGTCACTCTTGGAATATGGCGTGTTTGGGTATTTTGTTTTAAAAAACATCGCCCACAGCCTGCAGTTAAACAGACAGAAGAGTTTGGGCAAATCAACAGTGCTGGTTGAATGGAACTGTGTGATATGTGCTTCAAAGTACCAGTGAATTTTTGTTTATTATTGTATGGGTAAAGGCCCAATAAATGTGAGAATCCACCAAGTTTCACAGCTAATGATGAAACATTACTCTCTCTAGCAGTTGCATTTTTAAACATGGATAGCTCATGTTCTGAGAATAGGGTTTCTGCATCATTGTCACCAAGTTGTTCAATAATTGCACGTGCTAAACACTTAATCCATGATGTTGCCTTAGGTCCAGGGTTTTGTTTAAAATTGAGAGAGAGAAGCTCTGTATTGTTGGTCATTGACAGCAACATCATGAAAACTGTTGGCAGAGATATTTTTTCACCAAAGTTGTTGATAATGAAGTCACTAAAGTCTTGAAAGCTTATGTCTGGGAATGGAGCAGACTGTGGGCTTGCTAAGACATGTGGAATCAAGAATGTCATCCACAAAAGCAGAGCTAACTGAGAACTCAGTCCAGTGAGAGCAATCATGTAGGCCAAAAAGCTCAAGTTGCCAGCAAGACCATCCAGATAATAGGAAAGAACCAGTGCACCCAAAAGACCGAAAAGATTCAAACTACTGTACAAATGAAAGTCATGAGAAATACACAGATGGTAGTACAAAGATAAGACCTGTCAAGGTTAGCATACTTACTATTTGCGCTTGGAAGATCCACTCTTGGAAGTGGCCACCTTCTTAGCAGATCCAGCAGGCTTCTTTGATGTAGATGCTTTCTTGGATGTGCTAGAAGTCGCCGCAGATGCATCCTTTGCTGCTCCTTTCTTCGGCTTAACCAACGATCCTCCATTCTGCACCCATGCAAGAAGCTCTGCAAAGTGATATGCCTTCAACTTCACCCCAAACAACTCTTCCGTCTCCATACATTCCTCTTCATCACTCAGCCACTTTACCATCTCTGGATACTCCGCTACATGAGGAAAAGTCTTGGTCCAAAAGTCATGCCAAGTCGATTTGCCAATGAAGAGATTTGGAATGTCTCTACCGACAGGCAGTCTAAGTCCACCTGGCCAAGTCCCATCCTTCTGCATCTTCTTGAATTTCTTCTCAGCCTCAAGAAGAGCAAGGTATCGAGTGTAATGCTCCTGAAGTTTTAGAGCATTACCAGTACGGCGTAAGGCTACTGGAATCTCAAGAGCATCTGCCATTGCAGTTTGCTCTTGGGTGAAGTGAAATCGAACACCTGGGAGCTGAGCAGAGGCAGAGGCGACAGGAACAGATTGGCTAGTGGTAGCAGGAATAGGAAGACCAGCACTAGCAGCAGAGACAACAACAGTAGTAGATGAGACACTCGGTAAAGCGAAGTTGCTCTGTGGAATTATTAAATGACCAATCAGCAAGTAAAATAAAAATAATTACCAAAAGAATCTGAAGGACTGGCTTGTTATTTTCTTTGTGCCAGGTGATCTCTTCATCTCCGTCAACAGAAGTAATCTCTTCAAAAGAGCCCAAAAGAGTCCAGATAATGTCATAAACAAAAATAGTATATTCTATTCCAACCAATAATGTCAGAAGATGTGTAGAATTAAG